TTGCGAGGGATCAAAGGGCCTTTTTTCTTTCTTTCTGTTTTTTGGTTGGTGTGCGTATCTCTTTTAAGGTTGGAGCCCCCCAATGGATTTCTGTGTTTGTTTTGGTTTAAAGGCAAAAAGAGGGGTACCATGGATACCCGCAACCAAAAGACACACCCATATGTGCAAAAGGCTGGCTTGTTGCTAGCAATGGAGAAACACGAGCAATGACGAAGCTAGTGTCAAGTATTACTGAAAGCAGCCGGGCAGTTTGATGGAAAGGACATAGGAAGGAGAATCATGGAACGTCCACATGGAAGATCCTTGAAGGGATCATACTACCCAATTGTTTGCTTGGGCTAGCCAGCTTGCCAGCCACCCCAGAAAAGCCAAATGTGCGCATGCTTCGCCATGGTTGCTTTGCCCGAGCCCCTTTTTTCGTCAATATGTCTGGCCAACTCGTCGAGTCATTACGGGCGTTGGCATTTTCGCTACAACTGCGCGCCATTTTTTCGTCACGATGCCACGGTCTCTATGCACGAATATCTTCCTTCCTCCCTCCCTTCCTGTCTTTCTTTCCGTCTTTCTTTCCTTTCATCCGTATAGGCGTAGCTCAAAATTAACCAGCCGGGGCAAACCGCAGGTTTCACTCTTTAGTTCAATTGTTACCTTTGGTGGCATTATGGTAGGGTACCCTCTTTCTGAGCCTCAGCCATATCTTACCAAGGTGGCTTTCTGGCGGTTTGGTTTTTGAGCCACAGGATTCATAGGACCAAACCCCTCCACCTCCCTCCCAGCGGTCCCGATCAGCACTCCAATGGAGCCCACTAGGTCCCCCAGTGCCCCTCCCTCCCCTTTTTTTGGGGAGGGTTCCCCTACTGAAATAGACTACAGAAAAAATGGCGCCAACTTATTCTAACCTCTCAAATCTGGCGGACCTAGAACCCTCCTCATATGGCTCCGTTTTTTTTTGGCTCCGCCAGGCCCGTCTTCGCCAGATTTTCAGGGTACCCTTCTTCTAACCTCTCAAATCTGGAGGACCCTGCCGAGGTCACCGGCTTCCCCTTCCCCTTGGGCCCCATCTTCGCGCGGAGAACCGCCCGGAAGCCCAAGCCGAAGGGCAGTTGACGTGGTTTGAGCCGGACGCCCGGACAAAAAGGGCCAGCTTGGGGATGTTTGTGCTATGAATTCGTGTGAGCGCGTATTGACAATTTGCGGATTTGGCCCCCCAAAGCGAGAGTTGTCCTGTAATTACCCTTTACACCGACCTCGAGGTGTATTTTTGTGCGACAGAGCCCTTTTCAGGTCGAAGGGAAGCCACGTTATTTTAAAAGTGTCTCCCACTCTCACACATAGACAGACCCCAACAGAGTGCAAGTCTGCATGTGTCCATGTGGGGGTTGATCAATATTCCCTTCGGCCCCCAAATGATCATGGGTAACTTTCCAATATATTACCCTGCCACCAACTAATATGGAAGCGCACAAACCCCCTTGCCAAGAGGAAACTCGTGTTTCTACAGGGCTCTGTGCACTTCCATGTGAGTCGGGGTATCTCTTGAGTGGTTTTCCAACCACCGGTCATCCCACGTGACCCTTTTGTTCAACCGACGTCCCCTTCTCCCCGATCGCCCCCGATCGCCTCGCGCGAGCGAGCGCGCTCAGGTCCGCAGGCAGATCGGCGAGGGCATGTGGTCCTTTGAACAGGAGCAAAAGCTCGCGAACATCGCCGTGAACGCGCGCGTGCTCAGCCGGGAAAACCCGTCAATCCGCCGCCCCAAAAGAATCGGGGTGGCAAGCCCGGCCAGCCGGCTCAACTTAGCTTCTTAGATGTTATTTCTCGTGTTTTGTGGTAGTTTCCGAATTGAACCCACCAGTTTTCGTCACTTTTAGCGGGGGATCAGAAAACGCGCAGCCCGGAAAAAGAACGGGCTTACCCTTGCGGAGCCTACACATTCGTGGGTGTTTTAAGGAAGCTCCAACTCAGCTTGCCGGTTCGATAGGTAGGCAATCAGAAATGGAATGACCGCCAATTCGGGAATCCCTTCCGGTTCATTCCCAACACCCGGCATGGTCATTCCCTACTGATCACCAGCAAGAAAATCAGAATTTCAATCTTTTGAAGCTTTTCTTCCTCAGTTCATGGACTTTATAGTTCTTGGGAAAGCCATTCGGGTGGTAAACAAAAAGTTAATACTTCTTTTGGCCAATCAACTCAGAAAGTGAGTAGCATTTCAGACTTTTGTCTTTTTTCATATGGTTGTCAGCCCGTGGCTGCAGCCAAACCCGGGTCTTCTGCAAAACTATGGTCATATATTTAGGGTGGACGAAATCCCGCACCACTTTGAAACCGTGGGTTTAGATAATTTGTTTCTTGGGAGTTATGACATACGGGTCTCACGAACAGTTGCTTTTGAGGCTACTCTTCTTGGGCCTGTTCGACCGCGAGACAAAGGTAAGAAGCTCCCTCTAGAAGCTCCCTCTCGACGCTTTCCGGGATTTTTGAGGGACAACTGCGTCCAGGACAAGATGTCTCGATCTTCAAATGGGTGTGGCTCAAAATTACTTCGCCAGGCCTACGCAGGTTTTAGCTGGTTCCATGTGCCAAGGCCATTGTGGTCTCCATGTTTTTGAGCCACAGCCAAATGGGCGAAGCGGTCCCGGGTGTCCCCTGGACCGCGCGGGAGCGCCGCCGAGGTGCGGATGACGGTGATCAAGCTGCAGGATGGAAGTCTGCGAGGGGCTCAGCGGGATGGGAGCTCCGAGCCTGGCCAAAGCCATTGCCACAACGCACTGCCTGAGTTCAGGAACTTAGTCACTTTTTGGGACCGTTTTAGTGGTAAATACGAAGTTTGGACTTTTTTTGGGCCATCCACTCAGCAAGTGAGAGAAAAGCCAAAGGCGCGGCGAAGATCTTTTGGTGTTGGGCGGCGCCGTTTGTAAGTCTTTCGGGGTGACAGCCCCACCTAACATGGAACCTGAGGAATTAGGAGGGGGCCTGGTTTTGTCCAGGGACCGGGTCCCTGTCAGGTGCCACGTTAATTAATTGCAGGGAGGGTAATTGACCTGTCAAAAAGAAGGTTTCACCGCTCTTTCGATTCTTTGCACTTTGGGCAGACCCCGTGAATACTAGGTTTTGAGCACGGCTCAACTGGGTATGAGGGTTGCTGAAAGGAGGGGGAGCTCTTTTGGACCCGTTGTGGGTGACTGATTGTATGGAAGGGCCCCACATCGACCTCTTTTGAGGGTGTTCTCCATTGAATCTCATGGCTTAGAGCAGTTTGGAGCTGGAGCACAGGGAGCCGTTGCAGTTTGGTGCCTATGACAGGATCGAGAAGGGCAATCCATGTCCTTCGTACGGCTCCCCTTGTGGTCAGTAAGGATCGATGAATGTCCCCCCTGGTTTCGAGGGTTTCCACCCTCAAACCTATCCCAGGGTTAGCATCCCCGTTTGGGGGTTGGTTTATATAAGAGAAACCAAAGGAAACCCATCATTTTGGGACTAGCCCTTGAGACAAAGCCATATAGTTGGAGGCTGGAAGAGAACCATGGGAGTCCAGATCCAGAGCCTCACCTCATCGGACTCGTCGGACTGCGAAAGCAGCATGCGACTTGTGAGCCACATCCTCAAAATATGGGTAGATAGGTCCAATGGGCCGCCTTTTTAGTTCTTGAAGCATGGTTCTGGGTAGACCATTTTGATACCGATCGGTTTTGATTATGACTCATGTGGCTACCTGTTTGAAAAACCTATTGGCTACCGGTTCACCCACGTGCCAACCCAAACCCACCAAGTCTATTTATTTGCCCTTTAAGGGAATCCCTGGGTTCATTCCCTTCCCTATTGAACACTGGCACCACCCGCGGTCAACATTCTGGGAACCGGCGAAGGAACCGTTTTTCAGTCGCGGCAACCGGCTCGCTCGAGGTGGGTGCACAACCCAATTGCGCCCACCGCCGAGTGTTTGGCCTTGCTGAGGCAGGGCTCAAATGGAAGATCTGCTTCACTTGCGATCGGTGCGATACGGAATGACCCGAGTCCAGGTTTTGGGAATGAACTTCATGAACCTAGGGTTTTTTCACATTCTGTTTCCACCAAAATGGTCTTCCTAAAAAGTATAAAGTCCATGAATTCAGGGAGAAAAGCTTCCATGCTCGGTAGGAAATGACTAAGGCCAGGTTTTGGGAATGAACCGGAAGGGGTTTCCCTCACAGGAAACCATAGGGGATAGTTTACAGGGGTCATTCCATTTCTCATTCTCTGCTGAGAACCAGCAAGTTGGCTTGGAGTCCAATACAGGCTTTACATAGAGCCAACAAACAAGAGGTGCTTTTGGTTTGCATAGCCCGCGGATGGTAGGTCTCCTGTTTGCTTCCTTTGACACATGATCCGAAAACGGGTCCATAGCTGCTATGTGCATGGCCATGCAACGAAGCTGAATTGGCGGTCTCCTGGTCATTTTTGTCCACTCCCCACGAGTAATTGGTGCTTGGGTGCGCCACCCTAGACCACTTGTTGAATTTGGTGGTGGGTGGGGGTGGGGGTGGTGTACACAAAGTCTGGATCCTGATGCGTCAAACCGCTCGTTTTAATCCGCGGCTTTCACAAAATCATTGGACGACTGCACGCCCAATGATTAGGACAGACAAAAGTGTCCTGTTCAGTGTAACCTTGTTATTAGTAGGTTATAACCCAGGTGGCCTTTTCCACTTACTAGCTGGCCGAACATCCAAGCAAAACCCCCCTGTTGCTGGGTTTCCGTGCACGGGGGGGGGGGGGGGGGTACAGAATGGTCTTACTAACTTGGCGAATCGAACACCCAAGTACCAGCACTCGGAACACTTTTGATCTGGTTGATCAATATTGCGTAACTCCACCGAACGGGGGGCTTCTTTTTCTCGGGTTCTAGCTTTGGCTAGTCACAGCTGAGTAACTGCTTGAGTGATCTCTGGGTTGTCAAGTCCCTATAGTGATCTCTGGTTCTAACTTTGGCTTGTCGCCACTTACGAAGACTCAAGCCAAAGTTGATCTCTGTTAGTAAGTTGAGTGAGGGAGTGTTAGTGAGTTGAGCTAAAGTGGAGCTAACACTCAAGCCTCCCTCACAACTAACATCTAAGAGGGCTTTGCGCGGGTTCGGAAACTTTGGCTAGTCACAACTTACCAACTGCTTGAGTGATCTCTGGGTTGTCTCGTCCCTACTGTGATCTCTGGTTCTAACTTTGGCTAGTCAGCTACTTACTAACACTCAATAAGTACAAGGTAGTGATCTCTGGTTCTAACTTTGGCTAGTCTAACTCAAGCAGTCAGAGGGGCTAGTCAGTTACAACTTACTAACACTCCACTTACAACCCAAAGTGGAGCAAACACTCAAGCCTCACTCACCAGTAACATCTCAGAGGGAGGCTTTGCGTACTCCGATCGAATTTTGGACGTCCGAAAATTTTCCGCAGGGAGCTGAGCCTTCCGGTGAAGTACATCGTGCTTGGCAGCGCCCAGCCCCAGGGCCCAGATCGGAATGGGATCGACGGCCACTTGGGGCAGTGATTCCATTTTTGCCGGGTATTGCATTGCAGCAGGGGGCGGGAACCACCAGTTTTTTTTTCTTTAATATAATAAATAAACGAAGAGGAGAAATGCGAAGGGTTACCTAAAGGAAAGGAAGGTGACTTGGATCCACTGGGAACGCGAACAAAACCAATACCCTGAAGAAGGAGGTGTCGACATCTACTGGGGGGCCTACTTGCTAGGTTAGTTTGAACATCCAAGCAGCCGGAGCCAAGAAGCTGGAGCCAAGAGGCAAAACTACACTGTCCGCTGGCTCGGAGGCTCTTTGTGCAACCAGCTAGCTTTCTGGTGACAGAAGGGCAAAGGTAGTATATAAATGGATGAACATGAGTTTCTTGAATTTAGAGTCACTTTTGCGGGAAGCACTGCGACTTCATCTGATTGGATTTAACATTCATCCTCTGTCAACATTCACAAACCAAAGCACGCCTCTTCATCAAACCTCGGGAAAAAGAAGAACACCTGATGGATACAACAAAAAACAAAAACAAAAACAAGCAGCAGGGCCACAGCGGCGCAGTCCCACAGCCCCGTATCTCATGAAAAATCGTGTTTTTTGGTTGGGAGGGTTCCCCTACGAAAATAGACTACCGCACTTTCTCACCCTTTTTTGGCCCCGCAAAAAGGGTCCCCTTATTCTAACCTCTCCACTGGAGGACGCAGCTTTTGGTTCAGCGGAGGTACGAGCACAAGATCTTCGTGGCGCCTTTTGCCAGGAGATATCCCGAGGCGGAGGCGCGGCGCCGGCGCCGTCGCTCGCTGGCTCGCTGGCCGTCCAAAGACTCGGGGGGCGTTTGGAGCTTCGGCGGTTGAGCCGTGCTGACTCGGGGGGGGGGGGGGGTTGAACCAGATGGTTCAAATGAAATGCCCCGTTTTTGTTTTGTCCTTATTTCTTAAGGCAAGTAGGTCATAACTTGTCACAACCATCCCAGTGATTCCATTGGTATTGCGGCAGGGAACCAAGGGATTGCCACCCGAGAAAAGCAAACCCAGACGAAAAATCTGAAGGGTTGCCTACTATAGTGGTAGCTTGGATCCACTGGGCATGGTAAGGGGACCAAATCAAGCAGGAAAGGCTTTTGAAGACTCCCCGAGGTCCGTTTCAGACTGGGTATGGCCTCTGACCCCCCCAAACGCCAACTCAGCGGTTGGGGGAAAAACTGCTAGGTCCCGCAGCTAGGTGGGTTCCCCTACTAAAATAGACTACAGAAGAAAGACGGTACCCTTACATTCTAACCTCTCTACTGGAGGACCTAGGTATGTAGCAGTCTGGACCAAAGAACCCCTTGCTCTGCCTTACCACTGTTTTGATGGGTACCAACTCCAAGAAGGCTGCTTGGATGCTCGGTTCGCCACATCTTGGAAAGTGGAAATGCCCCCTGGGTTATAACCCACCAATAACCAGGTGAACTCCACTGAAAAGTGGGTGAAACAGCCGAGGTTACGATGCTCACGTACGAACTGGGCGCAGACCCAAGTGCCAGCACCCGGGCCCACTTCCTGCGGACATTTGGGACTTTTGATATGGGAAACAGGCAGTTGGCGGGTGCTGGGTGGGCAAAAGAGGCAGTTTCCTTGTTAAAAAACACCCCCCGTGAGGTTCCATGCTAATTGGAGGCTACCCGCTACCAAAGGTCGAGCCCTTACGAACCTGGCGAAGACCCAAGACCCAAGCAAGGATGCCTTGGTAGATTATTCAAATTGGGAACCCTTGGGAGGAACTCAAAAAACATACACTCCCTCAGCCTAACATGAGGCCTCCGCAAATGGAACCAAGTCTTCCATTTCGGGGTTGGGAGCTTCCTTGTTGGTCTGTGGGAGATATCATTGTTGTAGTTTTTTACCACTTTTTCAGTCAGTGGTCATCCCATGCCCATGGGACCTTTTGATCAACCCGCACATGGGAAACCGGCGTTTGCCCGGGGGCTGGGGGGTGGAGCGGGGGCGAGCCCAGCGGCCGTAGCAAATCGACAGGTCTTCACAGTTCCGCAGCAGTGGAGCTGGCCGCTGGATCTGCCCTCCGTCTTCTACGGGATCTTCTCCGCGGGAGACCTGAAGGCCCACTTTTTTACTTTTTTTCACGGGGGCCGGAGAGCATAACGTGGTGGTCGTTGGGAAAGATTTTACATGTTTGCTTATTGTGGTTTTGTGTTTGAAATCTCCACTTAACTGCTAAAAGTTATTTTTTTGCTCCCCTTCCAAAGTCAACCAAGATAGGTGTCTTTTTTGGGCTAGTTTGGATAGATACAGACGGGTTCCGCTGGTTTAGATGGGTTGTATTCCGTGCAACAGAGTTATTTGTCCTTGAAGCCGGAAGCTCCATCAGTGCGACGGTTTCAATGGAGACCGCCCAACTTTTTTTGCGGGGGAAATCCAGTGTCCCTCGAGGGAGGGAGTTAGATAAGTTTGTTGCGGTAAGGTCGGCGCAAAAAGGGTGCATTGAGAGCCAGCACACGAAACCCCCCAACCACTGCGTCTTGGACAGTACTTGAGATTCTGGACATGGGGAAAAATGCAGTTGTTGGGGGGTACTGGAGCAAGGTCTTTGTTTAAACTTTCAGTGGTGTCTTGTTTGCCATTTGTTTGGTGTCTCACAGATGTGGAGGTGGATTCAGCTGAGAGGAAAGCGGATGACAAGGCCAAGCCGCCGCGGAAGCTAACAGGATCTGTCACGGTGCTTCGAGAAAGAGGCAAGCGCAAAGGTGGTCCTGGGATAAGAGCAAGATGAAGAACTTCTTCACGAAGCAGCATGGCGGAAGGGTGCCTTTACACAAATGACAAACTTCCTGCAACAAGCCTGCCTCAAACAATTGAAGCTCAAACCTCGCCCTTAAAATGAGCTCGCTCGGCAGATGACTGCCCCTCTCACCGCCGAAAGTCTCTTACCTAAGGGACACCACGGTTCAACTCCTCCATTGTCCTTGGTCCCCCATTTGGAGACAATCAACTCCCGGGTAGATGATAGTTAGTAAAGGGTAATCCCAAGCCCAAATGAGCGGCTTCGCCGCCTTTCTAACTCTTTACCTGGTTCTGGGTAGACCATTTAGATAAATGTCATGAGTCGATCGGTTTTGATCATGACTCATCCTAGCGGTTTTCAATTTCCATCATGGTTGACCATTTACCATCGGTTTTGATCATGACTCAAGTGTGCCATGGTCGAAAGACCAGTTCCTTTGCTTGCGGTCAACGTTGGGATGGTCATCCAGCTGGTAGCGAGGGTTGTTAATATCCATGGTCGATTGCAATGAATGATTCCTATCGAGGGTGAGGCTCCCGATCCGTTTGGATTTGATCTCCTTTAAAGACTAGGTCCCCCAGCTAGGTGCCCTTTACCGTTTCTTTTTTCGGGGAGGGTTCCGCTACTAAAATAGACAAAACCGGAAAAACATCGGGTACCAACTTATTCTACCCTCTCTAAGGAGACAACCCCATTCGCTTCGCCGCCGCTTGGCGGCGAGATGTCGCTCCATTGAAGCTGAACGAAAAACTCGGTGACGTCGAGCACGCAGACTTGGCTTCTTGGTGTGTCTGTTCAGGGCCCTGGCAAGAGGATCGTCCATTTGCTTAAGCAATCTTCTTAGACAAATAAAACAACAAATAGATAAAAACAAATAGATAAATAGCACATGTCGTTTGAACACTACTTTGTGTTTAAGTCCCTTTTGGTTTTGCAGGGAGTCTATAAATACTGGACACACGTTTTATTTGGTCCATGGGTCAAGCAAATGGACGGTGAGAGGGCCTCAGTCGTGCTTCCTACGAACCCCATGAATGACGAGCACAGCCAGGGACAACTGGCTGACTTGACTCATTTCATGTGTTGTTATTAGTATTTTTATGTTTTTAAATTAAGGGACTCCCCCCCAAAAAACATGTTTAAAACCACTGCAAAAAGGGTACACACCCATGTATCAATCTTCTCCCCCGTGTACACATTTGACTGGTGAAATTCAAAGCACCGGCCATCCACAGGGTGAACGCAGACAGCGAATTGAATCCCATGTTCATTTAGCCATCCTTGTGTGCCATCTATTTTCACTCAGGTGTACCTCTCGATGAGACTCTTAGAAGATACAAACGGACCCTTAGGGATCACGTTATCCTTTTTCATTTTCATGGGCGTTTCTCAAAAATGGTATTTGGCCCCCAAGAAAAACACTGCTTTGAGAAACTCCCACATACGCACCCCAATCAACGGATTCCTTCCGAAACGTGTTCGTTTCCATGGCTGTAGCTGTAGCGCAAAGCTTCAGCCCGATGTGCCCCCCCCCGCCAAACATCGAGGCCACAACAATGATTTGTAGATGAAACTCCTTTTGGGGGCCCCCTTTTGGGTTACTATGTGTGCATCTTGTTTTTTGAGGGCACCACTTTTTGGTGGCTTTACAGGGAGCCAAAAAGGACACGCACTATGTTTTTTGGGGGGGCTCCCCCTACCAAAAAAAGGCACCCATGTGCTTTTTGCCCTGTGGCTTACTCGTATTTTCACCCGGCCCTCCCTCCCCCAGCCGGCTTCCCCGCCCGTTTGCGCCCGATCCAAGCGGATCGATGGATGCGATCGCAGGACGGGGACAAGGAGGCTCCTTGGTCCTCGGAGATCGAGCAGCGGCTGCTGTGCCCTCAGGCTCGACAAAGCAACGGCAAGCGTGTTGCGGGGGAGGGGGGGGGGTGGAAGGGTGGGTGGCAACCTTTTTGTTGTCCTGTTTTAAAGTCGCGGAAGCAAATCGTTTGTCGAGACAAACAAGAAGCTGGTCTTGACACCTAGCGATTTGCTTCCCCGACTTTCAAAAAGGACAACAAAACGGTTGCCACCGCTACCCACCCACCCACCCACCCACCCACCCCTCCACCCCGCCCCCAGCTACCCCCCAACCTCTTCCCCTGACTTGCTCGATAAACAAAGAGAGGCCAGGGAACGCAACTTCCAGGCTTTTTGCGTCACAAATTCAGAGACGCCAGCTGAACACCGGCCAGCTGAACGCCCCTTTGGAAGCAACTTGAGCCTTTGCGTTAGGGGAGTGGAGTTCGTCTCTCAGAACGGCTACGATGAATCAGCCAACGCATATTTAGCAGCTCATTCATCGTATATCAAACATCATAGTATGATGCGCAACGTGTATCAGGTATCACATAGCATATCAACATATGTGATATGCAAGAGCCATCATAGATCGTGCATCATATCAGAGCATATATATAATCTACGTACATCATGCATTGTACATATATATATATATACATGTATATATATATATCATATGCCCTTTGCCGGTATGTTGTATATCTGGCGAAAGTACTGGTCGTTATGTTTGCCATGTGTCATCTATCATTTGTCACTCATTTTATTCGCCTAGGTTTCCCAGTGCATGCCTCGTACTGTTCAGTTGCCTTCGCAATGCAAAAGTGACATTGCTGGAGACAAACCACCGGACGTCAGCAGGACCTAGTTGACCGTTTTCCTCCTTACCGTATCCGTGGGTCGGGTTCGGCTCCCAGCCCCAAGCTCTTTGCGCATTTTGTTTTGGGGGGCTCCCCCCCGGTATGGCGGACGCGTGGTGTGCAGATCATAGCCTTCTTGTTTTGGGGTGTTCTTCCATTTGCTTATGAATATTTGGTATGTTCCGCCTGCTGGGTTTAGAAGGACTTCATATCACTACCGGACATCTTCCACTTTATCCCTACTGGACATCTTCCACTTTATCACTGCCGGACATCTTCCATTTTGTCCAGGGGGCTTAAGCAACTGGCCGAAATCCAGATCGCACCGGTGGGGATGGATGACGTGCCATGAATGCTGCCATACACCACACGCCAACTGGTTCAGGATTTCGCCGTCCACTCACAGTATTTGTTGCCTAGGGGCCTAGATGAATTTACATCCACTACGGTTGAAGCCCTAAATATTGCAAGTGCGGAGCAGAAAAACAAAGGGCACGGTCCACTAAGGGAAGCACTGTGACATGATATCTGTGGCCCCCCTTCCCCTGATACAATGTTGAACTTGCAATATATTGGGCCTCGAAAGACAGGTTACGCGCTTGGCTTCAATGTTGAACTTGCAATATATGGGCTCGGAAAGACGGGTTACGCGCTTGGCTTCAACATTGTAACTGGGGGAGAGGTGTCCGCACGCAGCGGGCGATGCCACAGAAATGGTGTCGACATGTGCCTTGGTGGCACTTGCACTATTTAGGGCTTCCACTGTAGCTCCCCCAGTTGTGCCTCTTTACCCTTTTTTGGGAGAGGGTTCCCTACTAAAATAGACAACAGAAAAAGGGTACCCTTATCCTAGCCTCTCCACTGGACCTAGTCCACATCTCCTTGAGGTTGGCGTTTTGGGTCTTCAGTCAAATCTATTTGAGCAACAGCCACACCCCTGTTGGCCAATGTCAGGAAGGGGTTCTACTAGCTGGTTAAGGCCTATGGAAACTTCAACCTTTATCATCCCAGTAGCGCCGAGCGTCATGTGTCGACATCCACGGCTAAACAGCCCATACGTCCTGATGCTCCCAAAAGGAAACCAAAAGGGGATGGCATTTTGGCTAAAACCAACAATCCAGGCTTCCTGTATGACACCCAAATATATTTCTTGTTTTAGTTCTCGATTGTTTTGCTTGAGCCCAGGCCTCCATTTGACACCCAGCCCCTTTCTCGCGCACGTCGTCAGAACCGCCTGGGCTTTGGCTACAGCGCCTCCGAATGCGCCTTCTTCCACAAGAGGCGAGCCTTTAGCGTGAGGTGAGACTCTCGTGCATAGGTGTCCATTGTTGGTTGCAAAATAGATGGCGTTCCTGGTCAACCAGGTGGTTCACTCATCTACCAGGGCCATCTATTTTTTCTACAAGGACACCTATGCTCTCGTGTTGACTTCAGGGAAATTTTTAGGGGGGAGTGGTCCAAGGGGAGGTTAACCCCATTAGAGGGTTATGACCCAGGTGGCCAACCACTTGACTTGGCAACGCACACCCAAGTACTACAGAAATCGCAGGAGTCGATCATCCACAAGCAATGGACATGAGCCCCCGCCGAATTCCTCCACAGGGTTTTGTGACTTTTTGCAGGGGGGAGTGGTCCAAGGGGACCAGGGTGCCCTAAGGCTACTTAAAGGGGAATTGTGCGTCAGTTAAGTGGTTGGCAGGTGTGGTTCGGCATTGACCCCGGATTAATAAATTCCTGTTTACTAGTAGGGTTGGGGGGTGTCAATTTCTGGTTGATTATTCTGGGGTGCTACTTAAAGGGGCATTGTACTTAGTGAGTGGTTGGCGGACACCCCCCTGTTAGGACGGGTTTATGAATCCGGGGTCAACATTCATCCGGACCGTACTAAAAAACGGGTGGCTCTCCTTGCAAGGAAATGAGATCGATGGTTAGCTTCACATTTTCCCTACGAGTTCGAGCAACCCCCTTTTTAAATAAAGATCATTACTAAAAGGGAACTCGCCCCTGAAAATCGTGCTGTCCTAAGGAGCAAATCCGAAGTTCACACGGGAGCATGCGGTGGAGATTTATGTCAGAACCATATTTGGGAGGGGAGCCCTGTTAAAATTCACAGCCAAGTGTGGGCTCCAACCCAAATTTCTATTTCAGATAGACGAAATGTGAAATAGAATCAACCGTATTAGACCTGAGAAGTCGGCCTTGGCAGCAAGCCTTTCATTGACACATGTCGCAATTCTGCTAGGAAGAATTCAACCAAGAAAGAGTCCTGGTCTAGTGATGCTTTTCCAGCAGAGGCAGAGGGTTGGGGCCGTTGGGTCAACCTCTTTCTGGGGTCATCAGGTTGACTGTTTTGGGGGAAAGTCAGAAACTGGTTTCGGTTGTTTCCCTTTAGCAAGCCACTTGGGTTGACCGTGACTTTGACAATGGGTAAATGGCTGGTAAAAAAAAAAAACAAAAAAACAAACAAACAGGTACTGACTTTTGGAAACCCTGGTAAATGTTCCAGTTTGACATACCCAAAAATCATGAAGCCAGTCTTTGTGGCTTGCGGAAAAAGGGCGGGGAGTCGCCGAGTTCCCGCGCATGTCTCGCACCCCGGAGGTCGAAGACGCTGATTTGCACGGACGCCTTGGTGTACGTGCCGGAGGCACGACCCGGCTTGGAACTGAAGAGATCTCAACTTACTTCCATTTGCTGAAATGAATATGTATGTTTTATTTTCCCTTTAAGAATATTTGTGAATTTCTCCTTGTTGGCTTTAAAAGGAATTTATCACTACTGGTTTTTTTGTTTTTTCCAGGGGTCTTCACCAAATGGACGCTTAGTGCTCTATTTTTGGAATTTGGTGGCAAGCCCAGCCATCCGGTTCCGTAGCTGTTTGGATCCTTTTAGTGTTGAGTGGCAGTTCGTGTTCCATTTTTTGGACACCCTTGGGGTGATTTGCACATACCCGTGCTGGTTGCAAATCAAATCGCAACCTTACCTCAGGTCTCATGAAAAGCATCCTGGTCTTGGGGGTCCAGCCTGTATTTAGAGGGCAGCTTTCTTTGATGTTTGGATGTTCAACCAACTCAGTAAGGAAGCTATGGGCATGGTTATAAGGGGACCAATTACCCTAGTTATAACCTTGCTTATAACCTGCTTACTGAGTTGGCTGGACATCCAAGTAGAGGGTTTGAGATGAAGGTCGGATGATTCCTTTCGGATTTTCCGTAGAGCGCCTCCAAGAATGCATTTGTTATCTCCTCCCCTTAAAAATGATATTGGGGACCCCCCGCCAGTCCCTCTTGTTGTAGGTAGTTGGCTTGTGGCAGTCTGTCCGGGATGAGTGGACTTGCACTTCCAGCCCCAGTTCGATCCGAGCCGATGTCTTGGTGTTGTATGGAATCCTCTAATTTACCGCAACATTTCCCCTTTTTTGGTTGAGGTGTTTTTTTTCTCCAGCATTTGGGGCCATCATTGTCCAGTTTTGTGTGGTTGACTGTGGATGGTTTGCTTGCAGCAATTAGGGCATGCCCACGTCAGGAGCCGCCCTCCGTGTTGGACACCGAGGAGCTCACAGGCGCGTCGGTTGCAGCGCGCGCAAAAAAAACACACGAAGACGGGAAGCCGTTATTTGTTTTCTCTTCTTCTTCTTCTTTTTCCGTCTTTTTTTTCTTTTTCTTCTCTTTTTCTCGGCTTGGCCTTTGTTTATTTATTTTTTGTTCTTCGGGGGGGGTCTCTTTTGGTGGCCCGTTTTGTTCTTTTCCCCGGCCCTGTTGAACATCACCCTTTTGGTTTGAAAAGTTGTCGCCTTCTGAGTTATCTTTTGGGAGGTTCAAAGACCAATTTTTATGGGGAGCCATGGTTTTTTTCTCTATCCCCTAATGTTGACCCCTGCGCTTTCATTCCGTGGCGGAAACCATTTGGACCTTAGCAGGTCACAACCATAGTGAACAATTCCTTGTTCCATGCTTTGACCTGGAGCTTGACATCCAAGTAATGTTGACCCCGGATTACGCAGAACCCCTGGTTGATTTTGATCGGGGGGTGTCCCCTTTCAGTGGGGATTCAGACCACTTTTGGAGGGAACACCCCAAAAAATAATGGGACGGGTTTATTAATCCTGGGTCAACAGTACTGAGCGGAAGCATTTTATTTGCCCCTCCCCATTTTCCAATAAGACGGCCAGGGAAACCCTGGAAATTTCGGTTTCGAAGGAATCACCCCTTTGCCAAGAAATCTGGGCGCGAAGAGGGGTTGGTGGGCGGCCGGGGTGTTTCTCGTGTTGGCCTAAGGGTATTGTTGACTCCATATTCATCAACCCCTGTTGATTCATACGGGGGTGTTCCCCTCCAACAAAGATAAATCCCCACTAAAACCAGGGAACCCCTATCAATAAACTGGGGCTGATTAAACATTGCCCATTTTGGGGGCGATTGTGCAGGTCAAAGGGCAAGACATGATCCCTACTGGCGACTATATTCGCCCGGCAAAAGGAGCTGTGATGAGCGGATTTGTTCCATCTACAGAAGGGCTTCAAATCCACGAATTGAGCAAACCAGGTGTGGGAGACAGAGATTTGGATGCTGAGGGTTTTTTGTATCAAGGCCTAGCCTTCAACAGCCCCTCGCCCCTTCTTCCACCAAACCGCGCGGCTCACTTGTCCAAAGCTGACCTTTTGGTTGGCGAGCTCGCCTGGGGGTAAAACAGATCCACTACGATGTCCTGTTGGGGATCCAATTCTTATTTCGGGTTTGAGAGTGATTGCAACTTCCACAGACAAGTCTAATTCCCCAACAGCTGCAAGCTTCGGGGTCTTCGCCCAAATAAGCATTGAGGAGCTTCGGCAAGGGCAGCTTTCAGGAAGGGTTTTTCCGGAGTTTTTTCCGGGGTTCCGGGGCTTGTTGGGGGCTTTTGACCTCGGATTGGATGGTTTTCGAGAGCTAAAAGGAAGCCTGCCACATGCCATCGCCATGCGGCCCATGGCCCGCAATCGCCAGACTTGGGGAAGACCAAGGGGAACTTCGTCCTGGATCTCGTGGCACTGGTGAACTGGCACGCGCCTCAGATGGAACGTCTCGGGGTTTTCTGGGTGGCGGCAAGCCCTGCCGTTTTGTGAGGTTTTCGGGTGTTTTTAGTTAGTTTAGTGGTTGGGTTTCCATTTAACCCACGAAAAGTTGAAAACTTTCAACAGGGGATGTCAGGATGGGGCTATTTAACCCACGAAAAGTTGAGAACTTTCAACAGGGGATGTAAGGACGGCCTGATTTAGGGCTGGGAATGGCTCCGAAAAAATTTCGAACGTCCGAGTAGCTGAGCGTCCGTCTCTCCGCTCTCCGGCGAGGCGCGGCGCGGGAGATGATATCCGACGAGCCATGCAGGACTTTGGGTCGAAGCGTAGGACTTGGTCATAGGATCCCCCTTGGCAGGGGAGCAGAAAACAACCGAGTTGAATTAATCATAGGTGTCCTTTTTAGGCGAGTGTGGTCAAAACTAGAAGGCACTGGTTGAGATTGGTTTTATTCCATTTACCAGGGCCATCTATTCTTCCAAAGGTCCCTACTGTGGATGGTTGCGAAATCCAGAAATCGCACCACCTGGAATGATTCGAATACCCTATAAATACCAACAAGCAATGGTTCTCACGGGTTCTTTTGGTGTAGGATTTCGTCCATCCACAGTAGGATCCTCTTGCGCCTCCCCGAACCCCCCCCCCAGCCGCCGCGGCGTTTTTTGCAGGGGGACTGGATTTTGCGGGTTTTCCTCTTTGGGACATACGAAAAGAAGTACCCTTTAAACACACCTCCGAATAAAACTCAAAATTAAGGGCCGTGGCTTAACAAAATGGGTTGGGCACACGGCCGCCAAAGATTTCACTTTGGGGTTGTCACTTCTTTCGATTGGCCGCTCTCGCACAAGGCAAAGATATATTTGTTGAGCAGTTAACCCTACCTTCGAACAAGCTGAAGCGTCAACAGGGAAGGAACCCTTGGCCCCATTTTCTCCCAGTTTTTTGTGCGGCAGAAACCTGCAAGACGTTCGCCCTAGGATCTCCCGGTTTTCAGCACCCAAAATCTGGACGACCCGCAAGACAAAGATATGTTCCGGCCACATTGCCAGCTTCTTTTTCAGGTTCTGTCTTTGGTTTTCCGGAAAAACCTGGGACACGATTCCTAGATTTTTCCCTCTTTTGAGGCCCCGGTTTGCGGAACAGATGTTCGGGCAGAGATCTCAGCCCCGGTAACCCCATAGCTTCCAGCTGGGAGAGGAAGACAACTCCACCCCGGGTTCGGTTTCCGTTTTGCTGAAATAAGAACTTGTTCATTTCCCTTGCTTCTGAAAGGGAATTTATCACTGAAACTATCGCTACTGGACATGTCTTTTTGTGTTTTGCAGGAGACGTAAGCAAACGGAGGTAGGGTAAGTGGGGTAGTTGAGCGTTCCGCCACCTTCTTCTAGGTCCCCCAGTAGTGCCCTTTTACCCTTGTTCGTTGGGAGGGTTCCCCTACTAAAATAGACTACAGACAAAAAGGGTACCAACTTATTCTAACCTCTCTACCTGATCACTCTTTTGCTTTTCACTTTTCTAACCTCTCTACTGGAGGACCTAGACTTGGATCTTCAAGCCAGCCCAGCAAGTAGGTCATAACCATGGTTATAAGGAGACCAACCCCAGTTACCCTAGTCTACAAGGAGCTTTTGGAGCCGGAACCACCTCAAAAATGGTTCGTGGCTACCTGAATCTCCACCATTCTGTGGATGTCTTTTCTCTGGTCCCGATGCTTTGATGATGGAAAGGTGTCTTGACATGTTGACTTCATGGGTTAATGACCCCATTCTTTTGGGTAATGCCCCCATTTTTCTCTTTGACCTGTTCCATTTCACCCGCCGCCTTGCCTTGGATTTGACCGGAAGGACGAGGGCTCCGGCCCGAAACCGTCGCAAGCGGAGCTGCTGAGGCGGCTCGGGGATTCGCGCCCATGGGCCTGGGTGCCGTGGTTTGTTTTGGGGAAGGCAGCCGCTCACTGCCTGGGTTCCTGGACTTTGGTCACTTTTTGGGTTTGGGCCAGTTTGGCGGTGTATGAAAGTCTGTGTTTTTTTTTGGCTAAGCCACTCAGGAAGTGAGGCCAAATTTGTTGTCTGGTCCCCCTGTTTTGAGACAAGTCCATCGATTGTTTGACGCTTTTGGTTGGCTTATCAAAAATCAAGTCGGCAACCGGGGGGTGTTTTTTTCCTTTAACCTGTCATTCAGGGGGTGACTTTGACAGTGGAAAAAATGGGGCCATCTGTTTTGGAGTTGATTTGAAGGCAACCCGAAAGAAAACCACAATTTCGGGGGGGGGGGGGAGGGGGCGCCCCCTATTTTGAAGTCAAACCAAAGGTGTTTAGGTCAGTTGGTTGAGTCTAGCGCTCTTCTAAGGTCAGTTCGGTTTCCTTTCAGTTTCCCTCTAGGGGATACCTATGTTTCAATACACCTCCCTCCCTGCCGCTCTCATGGGAATGAGCATAGGTGGGATTTCTCACTGACTTTTTTTTGGCCTGAGTGGTTGAGTGGACCAAGCTGGTCGGAAAGTGTCAGAAGCATCGGATTGCCATTTCACAGACCAACCTGCAAATGCGCAACGTAGACGTCTCCAAGAGCAATCCAGCTAAAATGATGCGCATCTCAAATCCTATGCTGGTTGAACATCGAGCACGCCTACCCCCAAATGTTTGAGTAGAACCTCCGCCGAGCAGATCCGGGCGTTCCAGGAACAAATGGTTGGTCATTCCCAAAATAATGGTTGGTCATTGACCCATTTTTAGAGGGTCAGAATGAGACTCCAGCCACGTACTTACGAATCATGTTCAAGCTCTCTGTTGATTTGTAGCGGCACTCTGTGAATTTGAGGGGAGTTGCTGTGGTGGCACTTGAGGCGCTGTTAGTCTCGGGGGGTTCCGGGGTGCTGTTTGGTTTCCTTTTCTTCACTGTCGTTTGCGTGTGTTAGGTTGCTTTGTTGCATTGTTGGTTCTGTTCATCCGCAAGTAGGGGCGGCAAAAATCCGCCAGGTTTGGTTTACAAATGTTTTCATGTGTTAAGCGGTTTCTTGCTTTTTTGGGTTCTGTTCATTTTTGCCGCCGGGGGCGGCAACGCAAACCAGCAGCCAGTTTTTTGCAAGGCCCACGACATCTTGTTTTGGTGACTGCCTCCGGCTTGTGCAGAGGAAGGGCTGGCAGCGCGACGCGCTGCTGTCCTTGTACTTTGGCCGCCGGCTGAGCCGAGCTGATCCGCTCCGAGCGGATCCGCGCTCGCTGGAGTTGGGACTTTGGGTAAGAATCGAGGGCCAGGCGGTTTTTTTTTGGGGGGCCTCGGAAACCGAGCGGTTGAAAGGCGGTTGAAACCAGAGTTCAAAGGCTTTTTCGGAGGCATTCGTGTTGAGCTTTTGGCAAAATCAACGAAGGACATGAAAGTTGAAAGTGCCGTGGGGGTGTCAACGAAGGACATGAAGGTGCCGTGGGCGTGTCAAATTGGTCCGATGGATTTGAATCTGGGCCTGGACGCGGTGTCGGTGGCAAAGCGGTCAATCGTATGGTGCTTTTCTTTTGGTTCCCGTTCAAAGGCGGCACATGTCACCTCAGGCAAGTTTTAGGTTGGTGCTTTGGATTGGTTTGGGGAATTGCAGCCCTGGTTCTTTGTAGAGGGTACATGGGAAAGCCCATGTCCTAACTATCACTTCTTGGTGGCTCCCAGCCATCCAGTCCTTTAGCTTTTTAGCCTTTTGGCTTTTCACTAAAAACTAGTCAAACTTTTAGCGGGGGATCGGACAACGGGCAGGGGCAGCCCAGAATTGGACGGCGTTTTGGCCCCAAATCCCAGGCCCAGATGGCCAGAGCATCATCGACCCATCACAGGCCCCAGGGGGGGCTAGCCACTCGCCGGGTGCCTGGAATGACTGTTCCCCAAATGGAGCCACGCCCTCAAAACCGATTCGGGAAGATGAAGAATCGTCAGGGAGAATCCCGTTGCAACTGGGTGCGGAGCTCGGCCTTGGGAATTCATTGAAGCATGCTTCTGGGGATCGACCCTTAGTTCCTACCGGCTGGTGAGAAAAAAATCACTCACATAGATCTCCGGTCTTCTGTTTGATCGCCCACATGCTCTCCGGGATGTTTGAAGTCTGTGCTCTTCAAGTTTCAGGGCCGAGCTCCGGGGCCAAGAAAATCCGTGCTAAGACCGGCTCCAGCTTGCGAGGCCGGCTCCAGCTTCCTAAACCGGGTGCGCCCTGAGTACTTTTGAAGCCACCCCCGGCTTTTGACCCCTACCCAGTCATTCCTCGGTGGATGGTCTCAAGGGAAAAGACCAACTCCAAGGACTTCCTGGCAGGAACCCTCCGAGGTTAACATAGGTTTGCTGTCTTCGTGTGACAGAACCCCCTTGGCCTTCTTGAGTTTGTAACAAAAAGGGCCTTAGGAGTCGTCGGGAAACCAACCCCCAAAATGCGGATTTGTGTTGCCTCAAATGCGAAGAACCCACATGGAGCGAGCCCGAAATAGCATCCCACTCCAAATGCACCAGGTCTTGCGACCCCACCGGATTTTGTAAAGGGGATCCTCCCGAAATCGGTGGCTCGCAACTTTTGGTTTCCCCGCAGGAAGGTCGTTCTCGTTTGCCGGAACATGTGGGCTTGTCTTCATTCTTTGGGAGGTGTCTTTCCGCGCCATGGACACTTAGAGGCTATTTTTGTAGCCAGGCACCCTTAAAAACAATACCCTAAACGAAGGAGGTTACAAAATATGAGAAACACTGCCCCAACAGAAGGAGGTTCAATATATACATACATACATATATATATATATATATGTATATATATACAAACAAAAACAATACCACCAAAGAAGCAGGTTCAAAATAGGCCCTAATGCCCTCTCTGCCTTTCCCCCCCCCCTTCAAGGGGTTGGTTTCAGCAGGCCTTCCGAGCCATTGCGGGCCGGTGGATCGTGGGGCCTGGCGCTGAGTAAGGCGAGAGTCGGAGACCCTCCGATTTCGGGAGTTCGTTGGATGCCCTTGGATGGGTGTGGCTCCAAATCAAAGAGCTAGGGTTACGCAGCGTTTGGTCTTTGGCTCCATTTGCCAAGGTGCCGTTTTGGTTCATGTTTTTGAGCCACAGCCATGTGGAAACTTTGAGGAATCCGAGAGAAACCAAAGGGACACAGGTTCTGCTTTTTTAAGAGCAACCCTAAAAGGAACACAAATTATGTTTTTTTAGGAAGCACCCTGGAAGGAGCGTAGAATTCTGGTCCACTTCAGGTAACGTTGATTTTGGATTCATTTGGACATGGAAAACCACCTCAAGGAACCCAGGACGCCTCCGAAACGATTGCCAGCTCGGGTGCTCGAGCGGTCGTCATTCTTTTGCTCGAAACCACTTGTTGCTTCCCCGCAACAAATGGGCGTGTGGCAACCTTCCGAAAAGGCGTTATTATTTTGAAAGCTTTAAAAGACGGGGCAAGCGGCCAGAGGATAAGCCTGATGATGGATGGGGGGAACGACATGCGCGCACAGAGACTTGACTCCTCGTTCTCAAGCTAGTTGCAGATGCCATTTCCTGCAGTTGATTAAATGCAGGCAATGTGTGGCTTTCTTCAATTCTGCTTTTCAACAAACATCAGCTGAAGAGAAGCAACTCGTCCGCAACCATCTGAAGCTGAAAGAGCAACTCTCATGACTGACCCACATGTGGGTCAAAGCGCGCAAAGGACCCATTTTTTGGAAAAGGACCCAGGAGGAGTTTGAGCGAACTCCATTTCGCACCGCTTTGAAACCATGGGACACTATTGTTGGTTGGTATTTACAGGGGAATCATCAGAAACCAGGGCGTCTTAGGCGGTGCGAAATGGATTTCGCGTCCATCCACAGTATGTTAGTAAGACGGGTACACAAGTGGTATGTAGTTCATCACGTGCTTGGTGCGTAAACCACGTTTCTGGCTGACCCCAAACCCCAGTAACTGTGGGTGACTCCCTCCCCCCCTGGCTGGCTGGTTTCAAAAGGAAACCCAAAGGAAGCCAACCGTTTTTATTTTGAGGCAAGCCCATTTCTTTTCGGAAACTCAGCCCGGTGCCCGGGATTTCTCATGGGAAGCTGATTTCTCATGGACGTCGATTCTGATTTCGCGGGAGCGCTAGAAGCTGCATTTCCATGATGCATGCGAGCGATAAGAGTTTTGCTTCCAATTCTCATTTACTTCTCAAAATGGATCTCGGACCCACTTTGGGTTGGTATTCAGGGGCAGGGTTAGTACGTGGGTAATTACCACGATTATAACTCGCGAAAGCTGTGGTTGTAAGTCTTTTAAGTGGCTCATGTGCCGGTTTTCTCATTTGGCGAACCCGGCACAAACGGAGTGAGGCCGGTGTGCTACTCCCTGGTCTACGGGGGGCGGATTCGGAAGGAAGTGAAGGACCGGCCGAGCAGCGGAGACATGGGTGTCCGTGAAAGTTATCCACTTGAGCAGGGGATCTGAGGAGAGACCAGTTTTACATTTTAGGGTGGACTAAATATGACATGCTGCATTTGGATGGCCGCGAAATTCAAATTGCCCCAGCCAAGAAACCCTGGTTTCAGATGATTCCCCTGTAGATAACAATCGACAATGGCTTCCCTTGGTTTCCAAGTGGTGCGAAATGGCTTTCGTCCACCCACGGTAGATTCTGGGTACCCCATGAGCAAAAAGCTCGAAGGTTAGCGTGGAGTCAGTTTGACACTGCGGGTTCTGGGCAGCGCTTTTTCCAGCTACCAAATTCGGACATTTGGGCGAGTATTCAAGTTGAGATCTCCCAAAGTTGGTGTGTTACACTTTGCATTTGGCGTCTTAAAAACCGGGTCCCAACATGGATTGGATATCGGCTTTCCCCTCAGTTTCCCTGTAGCACCAACCCCCCAAACAGGCGCCCTCCAAAGTTTGACGCGCCCACAAACATTTCGTGCGGATAGCTGGGGACAAGAGGTTTAAAGGCTTCCGACTGGTTCCCTTCTTGATCAGACAGGAAAAACCCAAGCTTTTCCAGATTAATACATTTCTGTTTATAAATATTGCGGATGCTCCCCTTCAAGAGTGATGCACCCCCACGAAAACCAGGGACACCCCCATACTAATAAAAAGGGGTTTGTAATCCGGGGTCAAAATGATTTCTGACCAAAGGATTCAACCGGCCAGCGCGCATTTGTGCAACATGGTCCTGCCGCAGGTTTCATCCAACTGCAAGACTTCCCCTAGCCATGCCCTGTCTCATCTGGGTTTATGTTTTTTGAGGCGAAGAGTGCCCTCTTCACACTTGAAAGGAAAGCAACAACACAGCACCGTTAATATTGAGGTCGCCCCAAATTGGCACAATGTTTAGCACCTATCTCATTCTTCTCGTCGTCAGAGTCCGAAAACCCCATAAGGACTGACTCTCATGGGGGCTGGGGGGAGGGAGGGAAGGGGGAGCCCCAAAAAACCCTTATTAAGCCCCTGTGCCTTATTTAGGGCTTATTTGGGCTCCCTCCCCCTCCCCTCCCTCCCCCCCAGGTCTCATGAGACTCGCAGGAGTGGTCTGAGCGATTATGCGACTGGGACATCCAGCAGCGTGCGCCTCAAGCGAGCCCCGTTTGTGTTGTTGTCTTAAAAGCAGTCAAGAGGACACCAGTCCTTCTAGTCCCAGTCCTTCTAGTCCCTCATTTTCCTTTGACCCTGGTTCAATGCTTCTTTTTGGGAAGGTAGACTTGGAGCCAAGGAAGCTTTTGACAATTCATTTTGGGAGTCAGAGACCCGTTGCTGGGACGTTGCTGAAAAGCGATTGAAAGTCCTCAGAAACCGTATTTTCCAAACAGAAACCGACTTGATCTCAGGATTTTGGAGCACGGATTGAGAAAGACGTTCTCCATGTCCACCAGATTCTCCTCGCGCAGCTGTAGAGTGGGCTACGAGTGCGGCTGTAAACAGCTTCCGGATAAATCCCCATGTCCACCAAAAAGGGTCCCGATGTTTTGTTATTTAAGCAGCACGCCAGCAATTCAAGAGGGATGTAACAAAGATCATGGGGTAAAGCAATGTCGGATTAGAACATCTCAGGAATACAAGGTGAACCTTTGGTTCCTTGACTAAGAATGGGAACCCAAATCAGGGGAAACCGAAAGGTTAGATCTGGTTGATTCGCTTTGGTTGCAAGTGAGTATATGGGATTACGCCACCACCAAGCTTAGAAAGTGCCCAGGGCTCTGTCCTTGCATGTTTGCTGGGTATGTGAAGGGCACCCCCCCGCAAAGTGACATGGAGCCCCCTGCTACAGGGGTCCCCCGAAAGGAGCGGCCTCCAAAATGAGTTGTGCGTCAGTTTTTGTTTTTCTTCCAGCTTTAACCAGGGTGGTTCCATGTTTCATGGATTGGATTTGGATTTGGATTTCACCCCGTGGTTCCGAGTTCTGGGAGTTCCCGCCTACAACTCCCTCCTATCCGGGCTCCGAAGCATCAAGAAATAGGCCCGGGTAGAGAGGCATGGCAAACCAAGACCCCGGTGAGCGTGGATCGGTGAAACTTGAATGTTCGTTGCCCGGGCGAAGTGGGCTATGAACATGGTTATAACTAGGAACTGGTGCCCTTGGAACTTGGTGGCAAGCCCAGCCGTCCGGTTCCTTAGGTTGTTCGGGTTTTGGGGTTTAGTGGTTGGTTTTCCAGTTAACTCACTAGGAGTCAACCTTGCAGCAGGGCATCTGAAAACGGACAGCCCAGTTGTACCCATGGTCGTAATCAATCAATACCCGAGTCACTTGCTCAAAACCCGGGGAATTGGAGGGTAAGGGACAATGCCCTTGCCATAAATGGGTGCAGATCTGAGCTTTTTCAAGTCTTGAAGCATGCTGGGTAGACCATTCTAACACCGATCGGTTTGATTCTGACCTGACCTTGGTTGAAGATCCCCAACTGGTGTTTAGGCGTGCACCTTGGGTGGGGGTTTTTCATTTCGCTCTCCAACAGTAAAGCTCTTAGCAGATCTGACGGCCAGCCCAGGTAGAACCATGCTTGTGAATCACTCATGGTAGGTCTCCCTTTCCGTGATATCTCACCCACCGCTTACTCTCAGCGCTTTTTCTGCCGCACCGAATCCATCGGCCGTTGCGCTCTCAGGATCCTGCCTTGTCACTTCGCCGGGCCGGTGGGCCTAAGCCTCGGGCGATCGGGCGACGAAGAAGCGAGCGGGGCGATTCGCAGCCTTGGGATTTTTCGGTGGGCCGGAGCCATGGTCGTGTTGAGCACCTGAAGCATCAAACCACAGACGTGGTTATTTTTCTTTTTTTGTTTTTTTTTCTTCTCCGAATTTGGATTTCCCCAAAAGGTCCGAGCTAGCAACTCTTTTGGGGGTTTGAACACAGGTGGCCCTTTCCACTTGTCAAGACTTGGCAGCGAACCTCCAAGTCGACCCTTGGCAGTGCACCGATATCTTTGACTTCCCATGGGTTTTGCCGTATCGCAGGGTAGAAAGACTTGGTTTAGCTTCCGAGTTGGGAAGTTGTTGGTAACCTAGGTTACAACCCGGAAACACGCCTTCTAAGTGGAGTTGATCTTTTCTTAGGGTATGATGTTGACCCTCTACTCAAAAAGGAGGTATTTACCATGGAAAACCAGGTTTTCTCCAAAATACCCTAAGACACGTGTGTATTTGGAGCAGGGGGTATACCCCTCAAACCAGTGGATATTCGGGTGATAACTCTTCACCTCCTCCATTCCGAGGCGGCAACCGGGATGACATCCGTCGAGCCTTCGAGGTACTCGAGGAGAACGCCGAGGCGTGGCATGGCTTGGCGTGGAAAGGGTTGGTCCATGGTTATAACCGCTGGTTGGGGCGTGGAATACCGGCGGTTGGGCGGATCTGTAGCCAAATTTTGAGGAAATGTTTTATGGGGGCTGGGGGGAGGGAGGGGAGGGGGAGGCACGTGGACTATAACCTTGGTTGGGAGGGTTGTAACTTGGCTGTAGCCGTGGTCACAAGTGTTGTAACTTGGCTGTAACCATGGTTGCAAGGCTTACAAGTAGTGGGTTGGTCCTCCCTGCCCCCACCTCCCTTCCCACCAGCCCCCATGAACCATGGTTATAACCTACCCCCCGCCCACTACTTGACGTGGAACCTGACAAGGGGGGTGCTGGAAGACCATTTCTCCCTTTAAAGGGACCCCCTGTCAGGTTCCATGTAAATTGGTGGGAGGGTAATCACGGAGTTGTTTAAATATCCGGAGACACCTAGTGGCTTGCGAGCCGATTTGTTCAACATGTTTTTTGGCGGGGGTTCCCTATAAAAGTCAACTGCCCAAGAAGGCACCCATTTTTTTCTGTGGCCACCGGGGATTTCTGGATCGACGACATCTGCCGTTCGGGTTGTCGGTTGCAGCCTACATCGTTGTGCCCATTTGTGTGTGTCAAAATCTACTGTTGGGACCCCCCCAAATCGATGGTTTCCTTCTAGTTTCCTATTTAAATTGAAACCACCCCAGAACATGGTACCCTCCTCAAAAAGTCAATGGTTTCTGGTTTCCCATAAAACCCACCCCAGAAAGCCCCAAGGTTCAGTTGCCAACAGGAAAACCCCATGGTCGGGTTCGAAATTTCGCTAGTGTTTTCCCTTCAGGATTGTCATCCCACGTGGGGCCCTTTGTTGCCAGGTTTTTTCACGGGAATCAGTTGAACTGGGACAAGGTACCCTCCGAAACTTGATGGCTCTCAGCCATCCGGCTCCTCAGCTTGTGGCCTTTTTCTTCTGTTTAGTGGGTAGTTTCCGAATTGAACCCGCTACAAGTTGCTCACTTTTCAATCCCCTTAGCTTCTTAGATCTGTTTAGTGTTTCGTGGAAGTTTCTGAATGTAACCCACAAGTTGGCGCCACTTTTCGCGGGGGATCGGAAATCGGGCAGCCCAGAAGAAAAAATGTCGCGCCCAGTTCGGTCCTTAGGCGACCAAGGAGCCCGAGTTCGCGCTCCCGTGGCCTTTCCCACAGCCGGTGCGATATCCCGCCCAGGCGCGAACTCGCCGGGAGAACTCGCGCGCGAGAGGGGCGGGCGAGGGGCGAGTAGTTAGGTGTCGAGCCTTTTGAGGTCTCCTGCTATAGCTGCTATGTGCGTGGCTCGTCTTGTTTTAGGATTCGGACCTGCAACATGGCTCAACAGTGTTCAGGGCTTTTGGCTTCCCTTAAACAAAAGCAAACAAACACCCAGTTTACACCGAAACACGCACGCACCTCCCGCACGATGTGGGGTTGACGAACTGTGATCAGAGATTCAGAGAAACGGGCCCTGGAGATAGGCCAGCGGTTTGCTTGGGGTGTTCGTTGCCAACGTCAGGTAGGCCATAGCTTCTGGGGACCAACCCCGGCCACCAAGCTTGTAACCTCCATCTGCTTAACCATTTTTCCCCTTGCTGGTTTTAAAGAGGAGTTGATCGCTACAGGGAGTATTTTTTATTTTTTCCAGGGGTCTTAACCAAATGGAAGACAATGGCATGGTCATGAGACCCACTTCCCTGGTTGAACATCCAAGCGGCCAGAGACCACACTCCCGTGGAAGGGAACTGCTAAGCTGACAGCTTGGGATACATCGCCGATGGCTTCTGGCTTGGGGATGAGTTGCCTGATGGCTTGGCGTTTTTTGCTTCGGCCTCTGCAGGGCTCCTTAAAAGATCAAGCAATTTTGCGACCATGTGAAACATGGCTTTTGCACCATTTACAAGGCAATGTTCAGGTGTATAATGTAAGGATCTCTGTTCTGAGATCAGCACCAGGGTTGGACCCATGAAGAAAACCCTACGGTTCAGCCCGCATCAAAAGAATGGCAAGGACCCAATTTAGATGATGGAAATCCTGAACGGTAAACAATGGTGGTGAAATATGAACCCAACTGTTGTTTTAACGGTGGTTTGAGTGTAGGGTGTTTACTCCCAGAAAACTCCTGGGCTGGCACGGTTGGCGTTTGGAACTTCACGCTCTGCAGACCTAGTTTGTAATAATTTGTACCTGTCCATAATGGAAAGAGGCCAATTGTTTTCTTCCTCGTCTCCAATGGTACAGGAGACCCATCCTAAGAGGAAAGCAATGTCTGGTCCGCTTCTACGTTGGAGTTGTCTCACCGTTGACATGAGTTTCCAAGGGAAACCAACCGGACACCACCTGGAGGTCCCTGTTTTAAAGAAACCCCGGGTCCCCGTGTGTCGGTGTTGTCTCCGCCGGATCTTCGCGCCAGGATTTGAAGCTCCTGACGGACATCCGCGGCGCCTTGCAGACGCTGGACGTCATCTGATCCCGGCTCCCGTCGTTTTCCTCACGAAGCAAAACGTCACAGGGATCCGGGGAGCCTGAACGCTTGGACCCAGTGGATCCCGGGCAAAGCCAGGAAGGTAAGCCTGAAACGCCATGCTCCTTTTGCTTTTAAAGGACGGCTTTAGCTGTTGGCTTTCCTTTTTGGCCAGTTTCCTTCTTGGTTTTCCTGTTCCTTGTGGTTTTGGTTTCCAGCTTGGTCGGTTTTTAGTTTTTTAGTGGATCCACGATCCGGATCCTCGGATTTTCCAGGAGGCTCGGTGCATGGGCCTCCCAAGTTTTCACTTTCGCCGCGCTCGGCTCAAGGCCGAGCCGCGCGCTTTTCTGAAAGTCTGAAAGGGGCGATCAATGCGTCAGGAAAGCGGCTGGTCATAAACCATGGTGAGGACACCCACAAAAGCCGATGGTTATAAGCTATAGGTCTGCGTGCAGTGGGTTATGACCATGCTTCCTAACCACTTACTAAGTACCCGGCTCCAGTGGGTTTGGACCAGAACTTACCAACCGCTTGCTGAGTGCCGATCGATCGCCCCTTTAAGAGCGGATCACCGATCGCCCCTTCGGCCGATTTGAGAGTCCTCGGCCGAAAGGGCGGCGTCTCAAGAAATCTCGTGCGAATTCTCGCGCGGGAGGCAGGCCGTCCCCCAAGCTTCTGCGAAAGGACATTCTCCAAGATACTGGACCCTTTTTGGGCGGCGTTAGAGGGAGTCCCAAGGGAAACTCAATCTTTTTGGGAGTCCCCAATTTTGTTGAGACATACCCATTTGCGACGTTGGGGGGGTGGGCCGCGCACACATGAACAGAAATCAAAACCTTTCTTGGCAGATCAGACAGACTATGACTATGATTTCTGAAGCCGAGTGAGGTTTGCGTTTCGGCTCCCATAGACTCGCCATCGACCAGCCATTAAAAAGCCTTCGCTCGCTCCTGGCGTTGGCGGGAAGGAAGGCGGAGACTTTGAAGCGCCAGTGGAATCAGAGCGTCTTAGAGTTTTTTTTATTACGATGCTCGGTGGCTCTCAGCCATCCGGTTCCTTAGCTTTTTTGGCTTTTCAGTGTTTAGTGGGTAGTTTCCGCAACGAACCCACTAAAAGTACAAAACTTTTCGCGGGGGATCGATTTGAAAACGGGGGATCGATGAGACCTCAGGGATCACGAGCTGGTTGATTACTATAGGGAGCGTGAAAATTTCAGAGGGCAACGATCCTTCACCTTTTGGTAAAACAGCCTCTGATTCATCCACCAGGTGAGTCACAATCAAAACCGATTCGGGTAGATGAAGCTCAGTACGGGGCGATCCCATAAATAGGTGCGAATCTCCGCCTTCTTAATCCTGTACATGGTTCTGGGTTTACCATTTTTGTACCGGGTTTTGATGATGACTCGGGTCGAGAAAAAAAACACGGTTGACATGCACATCGATGGCTCTACTTCGAGCCGGCGCGGTTTTGGGTCCGGTTTTCCTTTTTCCGTGGGGCACGTCGAAATCTTGAGGGAGCTTTCCCTGAAAACAGAGGGTGGGGGGGGGGGGGGGGCGGATTTCTGTGCTTGGGTGTCCAAGCATGTCTTGCATCTTTTTGGTTTCCCCTGATTGCATTTGCACGGGTCACCAAGAGGGTCATTCAAGCTCGCGGGAAATCCTTGCGTCACTTTTTCTAGACCCCCTGCTCTGTGAAAGTTATTCTCCGGGATTCCTTTCTTTCAAATAGGGGGGGGGTGCAACAAGTGTGGGCGGGTCTGGAAAACGGTCAACGTGACAAGGTGGCTTCTGCCTTCAGTCAGATTGAACCTGGGAACAAGCTAAGCAAGGGCTTCCTTTGTCCTTTTTCTGGGTTCGATGCGTCGACCCTTGAAATCCACGGTTTTCGGAGCATCCGAGTTTAACAAGCATATATATATATATATATAATCATTCAGTGGTCACACTCCGCAATGCCTTTATACTTTTTTGGTGGTTGAACGCTCATTGTATAGTGACTACATCATTTTCCAACACGCGGAAAGTGTAGGCAATGGTAAGCACACAAGCAAAACACAGGTAGAGCAGATCGACGAAAGCAAAGCAAGGTAGGTCAATGCTAAACCAAGGTTAGAAAGCAAGGTTAGAAAGCAAGGTTAGAAAGCAAGGTTAGAAAGGGCAAACAAGGTAGACACAGGCAAACAGAGGCAAGCGATTGAGACTTCACAAGCTTTCGCCAGGTCCCCGCGAACCCAGGTCCAAAGGTGCCACACCTTTTCGAGGATTCCGAACCCTGCTATTTCCCATGGCCCGTCTTTTTTTTTTAACGTAAGCCACCCTTTTTGGTTGGTTTCAAGAAGAAAACACAAGGACAACCACTTAAAGTAAACCCTTTTCGGTTGGTTAAAAACCAACAAAAAGAACAACCACCATTTCTTCTCTTGCTCTTTTTGTTTCAAAAACCGTGTAAACCCTTTTTGGTTGGTTTTCACCCAGAAAAGGACCACCAGCATTTCTTTTCCTCTTTATTTTCAGACAGTCTTTTGTAGCATTTTTAATGTGAAAGTCATATCCCCGCCAACACCTGGTCTCTTCTTTTTTGGGGGGCGGGAGGGGCGGGGCTCCGCTTGAAAAAGACGCCCCGAAATATCAGCTGGAACCCGGGAACAGCAGGAGCTATCGCGGCTGCAGGCGGTGCGCAGCAGCCGGCGCCGGGGACGCCCAGACGCTTCCATTTGCTGTTTCAGAATATATGTTGTTTTTCTTTTTTTGTTTTTAACCATGATTATTTTCCTTTGCTCCTTCAACCATGATTTTCCCTTGTTTGTCTTAAAATATTCATCACTGCTGGACATATTTTCTCATTTTTCCCAGGGGTCTCAACCAAATGGAAGGACGGGATCGAGGGGATGCGTTGAACGAAGCCCGGGCTTTTGGGTTGTCGTTGGGCTTTGAGCGTCCAAGCGCGAGCGAGACTGGGAAACACCGCATCAATCCAACCATCAAGGCTGCATGGCCAAACTTGCTGAGAAGGGGCTTTTGGGTAGGCTCTATGGGGGGATTTTGGAGATGGCTGAAAAATATACCAGTTGTTGGGGATGTGTTTTTCGGATCTTGGACAGTACTTGGGATTGTCGGGGGTGTTTTTGTGAAAACCTCTGTTTAAACTTTCAATGGTGTTTTGTTTGGGTTCAACTGTCCATTAAAACAAAAACAACTAAAAAGAACAGATCCCGCTGCCATAAATGGGTGCGGATAGACGCCTTTTTGATTATTTGCATACATGTTGCTGGGTAGACAATTTTGCTACCCGGTTTTGCTTATAACTCATCTGACTCCGCAGGTTGTGTGCCACAAGTTGGGAGGAAGTCGGTCACATGGTTATAAGGACCGGCCTCATCTACTGATATCAATGGATATAGCCTACTTCTTGAGTTGGTTCAACATCCAAGTTGACACCTTAGATGCTGCATTGGGAAACCCCAAAGGAGCCCTTTCCAGTCTATGAGGGAGAGAGATCTTTGAAAGTGAAACGAAGCTGGACATTTTGGGGCGGTCTCGAGGGACAGCCTTCACCATAATCTTCTGTTGAGGGGGTGCCATTTTTTGTTGTTGTTGCTTTTGGTCGGCTCAAGATAGGCGATATCATGTCTGTGAACCAAAAAATGCTCATCGGATTGGTCAGTTGCAAGTTTTCTTGAATACCTGATCCACAAAGGGGTCACTAGTATTGACACATGAGGCTCGGTCAAAGTTAGTGTCAGCCTTTGGTTCATTTGGGAGGGACATGGGGGCTGAGCTCCAACTTGCAACCATCGAAACTAGGAGACTCACTTCCCATGTCCTCTTCAATTGTGACCATGCTTCACATACCCATGTGAGTGTATCGCATCATAGGGCCCCCCCTATGTCATTGGAAGCTTTGCTGTGCGGGCGACGCTCCGCAATGTTAAAGCAACCCACTTCAAGCAAACAAAGGAGTCATCGAGATGAAAATCCAACTTGTGTATCAGATATTAGAGGTATATCTTCCACAGTTGTGCGTTCCAACGTTTCTCTCTCCTTTCTTTGCTGAGAAGAGCAACGGCGGAAGGTCAGCCACCGCAGGCTTTCTTTGATGTTCCTGTCTTTCTCTCAAAGCCTACCACCAAATCTAAGGCCTTCCTTCCATTTGCTCAAGAGTAGTATTTTCATGATCACCTGTTGGTTTTAAAGGGAACCTATCACCGAACATCTGTGGCTCAAAACATGTACCAGAATGGCACCTTGGTACATGGAACCCAAGCCTAAACCTACGTAACCCTAGCTATTTAATATTTTGAGCCGCACCCATATGTTCCACAAAGCCAACCGAAGACCACCCAAAGCCCTTGGTTTCATCGCGCCGGGGGCGTCGCCAAGAGGCACCCGCCGGGGGCGCGAGGGCATGCAGTCGATCAGCCGGACACTCAGACTCCGGACGTGACGTCGGACAGCCCCCGCGGGGTTTTCCTCTTGGAGCTTCCCAGCCCCCTCGGTGGCTCCCAGCCATCCGGTTCTCAGCTCCCACCCTCCCACCAATCAACACGGAACGGAAATGGTGCCGTCAACAGGAGAACGGTCCAAACCAGGACCCCCCCCCCTGTCAGGTTCCATGTTATTTGGTGGGCGGGCAAAAAAGCGGAGCCACTCCGAGCGCCACTCGGATTCCACGGTTGGAGCGCCTGGCGTCCGCGCCGTTGCGTTCCTTCGCCTTTCTGGAGCCCCGAGGTTTGGTGGGCTACACCAATGTCGGCAAGAGTGCCGTCCGACGCCCAAGCGCTCAACTCATGGTCTGCAAGGTCCCCCAACTAGGTGCGCTTTGACCGTTTCTTTTTTGGGGGAGGGTTCCCCTGCTAACATAGACTACAGAAACAAAGTTGGTGCCCTTATTCTAACCACTCCCACTGGAGGAGGACCTAGTCTGTCTCTTGAGGGCCTCCAACTCAACAGCGTTGGTGGCAAGCCCAGCCTTTTGGTTCCTTAAAAAAAGCTTTTTGGAGATCTTTTTAGTGTTTAGTGGTAGTTTCCGAATTCACCCACACGTTTTCGTCACTTTTGGCGGGGGATCAGAAAACGGGCAGCCCAGAAACATGGCATCTGTAGGCGGGCACCTGGACGATCAGTTTCCTCTTGCGTCATTTCCCTTTAGGGCTTGGTTTAAAGGGAAACCAGGAAACCGTTCAATTTGGGGGGGTCCCCTCAGAAAAGACAACCATGAGCTTTTCCCCAACAGCTGAATTGAGACCCACTCTGTTTCTAACCAAACTAACCCAAGAAGGACACGTGCGGTCTCAAAAAGCCTAATTCGAGTTGGGGAGTCCTTTCCCCAAGCCGACGAGTAGAGGAACGTCTAGGGGATGTTTTCGGTAGGCGTTTTTGTGTTCTTCCCCTTTCTTTCCGGGACGGTTCCCTGGTTGCAAGAAGGCCTGAAAGGAAGACCAGTTTCTTCAAGAGGGACTCTGCTCTGGGTCCTGAAATGGGGTTCCAAGCTCAACTTTTTCGCTCCAAATACCCCGCTTTTCTCAGGGTAGTGTTGGATGGCTTTCCGAAATGCCAAATCTTTTTTGGTAGAGGGTTGACATGATACCCCTGAAAAATGGAGAGGGGGTTCATGGGAGTAATAGTCCTTTTCACAAACTCCTTCAGTCTGGGAGCAATCTCCTTTAGGGGACCTTTAGTACTTGGCTGTTTGGCCGGGTGTAACCCGCTAACAGCAAGGTCAACTCCACTGAACGCGGGCTTTTTACAACCCTAGGTTACGACCACAACTGACTAACTTGGCGAATCGAACACCCCAGTAAGAGTCTTTTTCCAACCCCCTCCCCCCCCAAATCCCCCAATCCCCCAATCCCCCAATCCCCCAATCCCCCAATCCCCCAATCCCCCAATCCCCCAATCCCCCAATCCCCCAATCCCCCAATCCCCCAATCCCCCAATCCCCTAATCCCCTAATCCCCCAATCCCCCAATCCCCCAATCCCCCAATCCCCCACCCCCCTAATCCCCCCGTTTTTGTTTCATTTCAGGGCTGACCCACTTGGTGAATCGAACACCCCAGTAAACCCCCCTCAATTCCCCCAGCATGTTTCAGGGGAGCCGTGTTTGTGCGGCCCTTTGTTCATTTTTGTTGAATTCGCGGATTTGGTTTCGGTGTCCGAGATTGTGAATCGCCTGGCCGGCTCTGACTTGCTGGTGAAGGCCTGCCGGACAGATCGACATGCCGGCGAGTTGCGAGCTATGAACTTGCGATCGGTGCGAGAGATGTGTTGGCGACGGCGAAGGGAACACCACGTACTTTGGAGGGGTCCCGTGAAAAAACGACACACACACACACATTTGGGAGTCGCCTTTTCTCCCGTGACCTTCGCCGCGCATGTGATCAGTTTCCAGGATGGGGTCTTCGTGACTTTGGACATTGCTGCCCGCCGGATCAAGCTGTCCGCGCCCCGGATCGAGTTCCGGGCCAAACAACCTGATCTTGGAATGGGTCAAAATAAGGATTCTCCCCCCCAAGAAAAAAACAAAGCAAGGGATCCCCCAAAAAGGCACCCCCCCCAAAATAAGGGACCCCTTCTTTTGGTTTCCTTTAACCTTCAACGCCCCCCCCCGGGCTTGGTGCATGGAAATCCTCCAGGGTCGAAAGGAAGCTTGCGTTCCCCTCTGAAGTGCTTGGTACGTTGCCAGAAGCAAGCTGCTTGCCAAAGGCATCGCCGCAATCAGCCACTGGTTTCACAGCATTCTTTCCCCCTGAGGCAGGATTGCTCCCGAACCTCCAGAAGAATGTCAAACAAGTTATCCCGCCACTAGACTCTTAAACTTTTGGAGTGCAGAGCGTGTCTTTTTGGAGGCCCTTTCGGTTGAAAAGGAGGCCAAAGGGACGCCACTTATTTTTTGGGGTCCCTCAAGCAACAGACAAACCCGGAAAACCATCCACTCAAAGCTAAAGGATTGGTCGCGTTCCTTTCCAGAGGCCACTTAGGCCACTTACAGGGGCAAGGTACTTAGCAGGTGGTTAGTAAGCCTGATTATACTCCATAACCCCGGCAAGTGGGTTTTATCCAGGCTTTACTACCCACTTCCCTCAGGAACAATGCCCCTTTAAGCCGCGAAACGGCTCTTCAACCTGGGCTCTTCAACCTGGGCCTATCACTCCATTTGAGCCACAATCGCAAAACCGATTCAGGCAGAAGGTTTGGGACAATCCCTTCTGGGTAGACCATGTTACTACTAATGTTGACGAATGTTGACGAATTGCCCCATCTGTTTTGACGCATGTTGACCCAGGATCTAAGTAGAACCCGTCCTAATCGCTTTTGGGGGGGTGAACAAACCCCTCCAAAAGTGGTCCGAATGCAACCACGAAAAGGAATGGAACACCCCCCCAATCCAAATCCACCAGGTATTAACCAGGCTCCCGCCTGCTGCCGCCGACCCTCGGCGCATTAAGGGAAAAGTCACAAGGACCGGTCCTGAAACACGTCCGCAAACCCAGGGACCACTTATAAGATTTTCTACGACCACAAACAAGGATTAACGGAAAAATCAGAAATATGGCAGCTAGTCCGTTAATTGCCGCTTGGGCCGGCTTGCGCCCAAGTCACTTCGAGTTGGCCCGGGAGCAGTCGCCTGTCCCGGGTCGCCCTGAAACTGGCCCTCCCGAAACTGCCCCGGCGACAGTGGCCCTAGTGGCCCTGGACCGGTCGCCGGCAGGGACCGGGACTTGGGACCCTGTCCAGGCTGGTCTGAGTCTGGCGCGGTTTGACTCGACGTATTGGACTCTCTTGCAGATTAGATCCAGGGATCCTCTACTACCACAAGGATTAGCGGAAAAGTCAGACAGACGGCAGCTCGTCCGTCAATGACCGCACGGGCCGGCTCGCGCCCAAGTCACGTTGAGCTGCTCCTACAAACAAGGCCGTCGGTGCCCCTCAACCGGTCGCAGGGAGGGACTGGGACTGACTTGGGACCCTGTCCGGTCCTGAAACACGGGTGCCAGTCCGGAAACAGCGACACTGGAGGAAACAGGTGTCTGGAGCTGAGGTGGGCCGATACCAGCAGGACTCGATCCTGGGACCGGCTTGGACCAGTCCTGAAAGTTTGGCCGGCACCAGTCCCAGGACCAGCCCAGGACCAGCCCCAGGACCGGTCTCCCAGGACCGGGACCGGTCCTTCGCTGACTGCAAGTAATCTGAAGCTGTCCCAGGACCAGGTCCCGGACCGGTCCTGGGAATCCACTTTTTGTGCTTTCGGGCGTGCTTTACAGGGACTATCATTGATTCCAATCACTTCCAGTTGCATCCCACGCCAGTCCCCTCTGCAGGAGGCTGGGACGGGAGGCAGAGGGTCGGCGGATTTTTTGATCCGGGGTTCGCATTGTGCCTCACTGGGAGCGTACGGACCGTCGGCCGCTTTCCGACACCCGCAGCCCGGGCCTGTTTGCGCCGAGGCCCTCAGGGGGTGAGTGCCACATCCTCGACTCGGTCGGCTTCATTAAGGCGGCGGGCGGGGGGATTTTGGGAGCGGTTCGTGCGCACCCCTGCTCCAAATGCCCGGCTTCTTTTTAGCGTGTCTTGTGGAAAACTTGGTTTTCCATGGTAAACACCTCCTTTTTTAGTGGTTTTTCTCTTTGTTTTCCAGAGTAAACACTCTCCTTGTTTAGCGTTGTTTTTTGTGAAACACCTGCTTTTCCATAGCAGATTCCTCCTTTTCTTCAGTAGGGGATTGACGTGATACCTTTACACAAATGCATGGGTAATTTGGAGTAGGGGGTATGGCTATGAATTTCAAGATTTGGAATCTCCTCAGAAGTGGTTGGACATGAATCCCCACCCCAATTCCACCCATGGGTCCAGGACCCATGAAAATGTATGCCTGTCCGATGGTTGTGTGGCAGGTTGTGTGGTGGCAAACCTTCCAACAAAGTGGTGGGTTTGCCCCCTGTCCTAAAAAGGACCAATCTAACAAATGGGTTCTGGGATCATTGAAAGGCAATCGGAACCTGTTTGGGTGTGCTTCCTTCTTTTGCAGGTAGCCCCCAGAATGCCGGTCCAATCTTTTCAGGCCAGAATCGGTTTACCTGGCTCAATCATCTACCAGGGCCATTTATCTTCCAGCATCTTCCAGCCCATGACGGTCCCCACAACAACCTTGGAACTAGGTGAGAGAGACGTCGGGAGCATGTGTTTTGGCCAACCTGTCAGCACGTTTGGAAGGAAAAGGCACCTCTGTGTTCGCGCACTGGGAGCTTGGTGAAAGGGACGCCCCCCCCAAGAAAAGTCTTCAGAACCCCTTCCAAATGCAACTACTTTAGCCGGAATCTCCGAGCCCTTTGAACGACTTTGCAGATTTGGGCACAACATTAAAGAGATCGTGGTTACGAATGCGATTTACCTTATGGTGTTTTGAGCACATGGCCATAAACATAGAATTTTCGGTGTCCCTCCCGGCCCCCATCCCCCCTTTTCAAGCCTCAAGCCTCAAGCCTCAAGCCTCAAGCCTCAAGCCGAGCGTTGGACACAAACCTTCCATTTGCTGAAATGAATATGTCTTTCTTTTCCCCTGTTGGCTTTAAAAAGGAACTTATAACTACTCGACCTCTGCTTAAGCAAATGGAAGGTGGCTAACCAAATCAAAGCTCGGCCGCTTCCGCTGGCGCCCAAGCCAGGACCTCCCGCTGGAACTCTGCGAGGCCTTCCGCGCCACGGTGCAGGAGGGCACCGGGGCGATTGGCACCGGGGGGCGATGGTTTTTGGGGCTCGGAGAGCAAAAGGACCAAACAACGCCGAGCGACGTGTTTTTCCATTCTTCCTTCACTTCCTTTTTTTTTGCGCGCGTCATTCTTTCACTCCTCCTTTTTTTTTCTCCTGGGGACGGGGGGTCCGTACAACGTTCTTTCTTCCGGCGCGGGGGGGGGGGGGAAGGTCCATGTTCTTTTCCTGCCCCAGGGAGCTGAAAGCCATAGTTCCGACTTCGATTTTTCCACAGGGGAAACTGATCGAGATTGAGAGCAACAGGGTACAGCCATTTTTCCTCTAGGGTTTGGGTTTAGGATGTTTTTTCCACAACAACTAATCAACAGGATTTGGGAGGCTGATCAACAGGGTACTTTCTTTTTTGTCGGGGGGGGTCCGAGTCCTAAAACGAGGGCACGGCCATTTTGTTGAGGCTGGCACTACCCTCCCACCAACTAGCATAAGTGCAACAACAAGCCCTTTCCAAGAGGAAAGTAGTCTTTCTACAGGGGTCTGTGCACTTCCATGTTAGCTGGTGGGAGGGTAAGCGCCCTGAGTGGAGTTCACCTTGTTTTTGGTGGGGTATCACCCACACGGCGAACCACTTGCTAACTTGGCCGAACATCCAAGTACCCATTTTGGGGTTGCGCCGATCTCGGGGGTTCCCCTATTTGGATCTTAGTATGGTTGGAACAACCAACCAACAAAGTGTTGGTGGACATAAATCCCCTGAGTTCGTGACCCATCATCCTAGGGCCAGGGTTCAACCCCCATTACAAGAATGGTTGACCCAATTTGGATGATGACAATCCTGAACGGTAAACCCTGGTGAATCTGAACCCAACCATGGCTTTAAATGGTGGCAACTGAACCAGGGTACATGGCGGCTGTTGCAGAGGCCCCCAAATGACCTTGGGTTACTTTTCCCATTTAGTGGTTGAAATATCATCCTTGTAGCGGTTTTCCAACCAATGGTCATACCAGATGATTTGCAGTAATTCAATCTTGCCTGCCTGAACTCCATTTAAAGGGGCAGGGTACTTAGGAAGTGATCAGGCCCGGTTTTACCCCGCAACAGCCATGGTTAGTCTCCGTTCAGGGTTTTTACCACCTACCTGACACACCCTGCCCGTAGCAGGGATCAAAATCATACCCAGCTCAGAGGGGCATAGCCAGGAGCTTCAGGAGGCAGACGTGGTGCTGCACGTGCGCGACATGGCCCACCCCTCCCGTCAGGAGCGACCACTGGTGACATCTGGGAGAAGAAAGGCCCTGAGGTGGACCCCTTTCTTGTGGTTTTAAAGGGAAGCCGATTGCCAAGCCACAATTTTGGAGATTCCCTGAAAAAGAAGTACCCAAATAGCGCATCGATTTGAAGGGTTGATAGGTGTTTCGCCCGCGAAAACCTGGGGGGTCAAGGAAATGTGCATGCCCGCAAGATTGCGGGTCAAGTTTGCTGGATGACGACTTGGAGGTGGGTGTCTGATTGATTCAGGCCTCTTTCAAGACTAGTTTTCTGAAAAAAGTGGCTATGAATTTAGCTAAGGAACCCCCTGGAAAGTGGTTGGTGGACAGAACCCACCTAAATGATGTCCACCAGTTCGGGCCCGTAAGTAAAACATCATGCCCCTATGTTCTCTCTGTGGTTCCCAGGCATCCCCTTAGCCTTTTAGCTTTTTTGTGTTTCGCAGGGATTTTCATTGAACCCACTAAAAGTTAGTCACTTTTAGCGGGGGATCAGAAAACGGACAGCCCAGTTCTGTGTCTCGCTTTTGGGTTGAGGGGGCTCTTGAGACTGGCGACGGGGAAACGCCTTCGAAACCATCTGCGGGTTCCGTGGTTTTGAGGCAGACCCGCACACTGGCACTCCCCTCAGTTCCAGGCTGATTGAAAGAATGGCCTTGGGGCCCAGTTTGAACGGTGCAACACCCTAGGTAAACAACGGTGATTCTATGACCCCAGTTGTTTTGATTGTGGTTTGACTCCCACGTATGGTTTTGTCGGAATCCTCAAAATAGCTGGTTTGCTTTTGGTTTTCCTTATTTGAGAAACTTGCACATGGCATGGCGGCGACGCGTTTCTCTTTCAGTGGTTCACTGGCTTCTTGGTGTGCCAGGAGCAATGGAAGATCGTGCGGCAGGTGCTTCAAGAAACAGAGATCGACCCCGACCGCATCATGGAGGCAGGGTGGCTCAAAATTCAGGATCAGGGACAGAAAACATGTTTGTTTTTCCCTACAAGCTGAGATCACATTTGCCAGGAGATTTGGAGAAGGTTTTCTTGTCACTCAGGCGGTTTTGGGATATAACATTGGGACCCTGAAGTGCTCAGTCTCCTCTCTATGTGCGCGGAATTTGTGGACAGGTGTGGAACAAGACTGACCTGCTGACCGAGAAAGAGGCCCGGTCAGTGAGTCAGGGCAGACGTGGGTGTGCTACAAGGGCCTAAAAAATTTGAACGGTGTCCACGGGTGAATGTGGAGAATCCGACCACTGTTGGAGGGGCCCCTACCCCAAACTAGGGTGATTAATATTTGGGTCAACATTCCTAAGGGTCCGCACAATCTCGTTGGGTTTCTTTTTGAGTTCCCTGTGAATACCGACCAAAGGGGGTCCAGCATTTTGAGAAACTCCCAATGTTTGACCTCAGTTTTTCAAGGCCGACCTTTTGACCTTTCGGTTTTCTCTTTTTGGTCCACTTTTAGTAAAGGTCCCAAAAGGTTAGCCTTTTTTTCCCGGGTCGTTTGGGCAAGTGAGTCACCCCTTTAGAATTCAGTCCGGCGCAAGTTCAGATTCTGCAACACTGCGCTTGCTGCCGTGGAGGCGGTTGCTTTGCGGCAAGTCATGCTCGCTTGCAGGGGATGGCTTCCGGGAATTCCTTTGATTTGCCTGGAGACACCATCAATGGGTAGAGCTGTACACGATAAATATGCAGCAGAACCAATCACCAGATTGGGCCAACTCTTCACTGTTCTTCTGGTTTTTGGTTCTTTTGCTCGGTTCTGTTCATTTCTAGCGGGTGGCAGCAAACAAATGAGTGGTTTGATCACAACGGACAGCTACCACAAAGGCGGACTCCGGTTTTTGGTTTCCCGACGCTTTTTGCCCCAATGCCGTGCAAGAGCCCTCCTATACCTCAAACATTGGCCCCTAAAAACCCCTCCAATTGGTGGTTTGGATTGATGGTTTCGGGTCGAGGGGGTTGTTTCAGAACCAGGGGCACCCAGCTGGTTCGAATCTGTGGCTGGTTACAAGAAGTGAAGACGGGGTGGTGTCCGATTTACCCTCTACAAGAACCCAGGGACCCGTTCTGATTCAAACCCGAAGCTGGTTGGAACCCGTTGCCACGAGCCGAGGTGCGGCATCTCTTCTACATCCATCAGAAGCAGGACTGGACCGACGCGGAACCCTGTTTGCTCATTCCCATGGGAGGGGGAGTTCTCAAAATGCTGGACTTTCTGTTGGTTGCTTGGAGCCCCACCAAAACACACAATTTTTTGGGGACCCTGATTTTGAGAAACATCCACGCTTCTCGCATTTGTCCCCACCTCAGCCTCTTGGTGCTCTCCCCCTTTGCAGGATTCCACGCCAGTCCAGTGGGTGAGCGCGTTGACCGGTGCGCGCCTTAGTTTGTTGTTTGCCGAGTTGGCCGCATGCGAAGTAAATGGTTTTTCACCAGACCAAAAGGGGAGGGGTCCAAAAGGGGGAGACCACAAGGAGCTTGGTTTAACAGTTGTTTAACCATGGTTTAAACAAGGGGTTGAAGCCCTTTTCTGGGAATGCGCAGAATGATTTTATTCATCTCTTGCAGATTCAGCAGTTCATGTGGTTGTTTTTGGTCCCGAATTACATTTGTTGAATGGTTGGTTGGGTTGGGTTGGGTTGGGTTGGGTTGGGTTGGGTTGGGTTGGGTTGGGTTGGGTTGGGTTGGGTTGGGTTGGGTTGGGTTGGGTTGGGTTGGGTTGGGTTGGGTTGGGTTGGTTGGGTTGGTGCAAAATTAGCTTAACCAACCAGTTGGTACCCTTGAGGGGAAACAAAAGGTTGTTGACAGTTTTTTTTTTTTTTTTTTTTTTAAACATCAGGTTCCATCTTGGTTTGGATAGGTGGTTTGGAGATGGCCTGGCGCGGGGTCAAAATGACCCTACAAGAAGAGGTTCAAATCCCAGCCCTCACAACCAAAAACAGAAAGCCGCCCATCCCAACCAGTTGAAAGGACGCTGATTTTGGTTGGTTTGAAGGGGAAACCAAAAGGACACACAACTTTGAGGGTGTCAACTCATCATGCTTGGCTATGAATGATGATGCCTTCTCAAAAACGATTGGTGGACCCAAAGTCCCTACCCAAATTACAACCTGAAACTTTGTACTTCACATGGCATCATAAGGGTTATAGTAAGGCTTATATAAACCATGTTAGTAGAACCACAAGTCGACAGGACTTTTGGTTGCTGCTCACATGGAACCCAAAATTGGGGGTCCAATTCTCAAGGGGAGACCCCTCTGCGAATGGATTGTGTGATTGCAGATCCATTCCGTTAATCCGCAGCAATATTAGAGGCAACCTATTCACCAATACCTCTACAATTGTGCCATTTTAAAGCACCCCCCAACCCCATTCTACGCATTGAACTGCCTAGTGCGGGGTTTCCATTTTTTCCAACTTGCCTCATTCACGGAATGGCCTGGGGGAGGGTAGCAAGGTAGCAAACAACCAGATTCCCAGTTCGCAGTTGTGAGATGTCCACAATTTCGGGTCCACTAAAATGAACCCATGGGTCCCCTGAAAGAAAACCACCCGTTGGTTTATAGAGTCATTCCATTTCTCATTCCCTGCGGTTTTTACCCGCAAGAAGAAACAGTTGGTATTTTGGAGGTGCCGGTAGAAACCCCCGCCCCAACGACTGAGGCGCCGGGTTCCCAGAGCTCCTCGAATCACTGGAGAAGAAGCTCCAGGCGCGAGACCAGATCTTGGCGCCCCGGCCATCCGAATCCGTAGGCTCTTAGCCTCACTGAGTTCATGGACTTTGAACTTTCTGGAAAGACCATTTTAGTGGTGAACGAAAAGTTTGGACTGTTGTTGGCCCATCCACTCAGGAAGCTTGTTAGTTGGTTCAGTGGCTGAAAAGTCCATGTTGCCCACCACTTTTTTAAAAGGGTTGTTAGCTTTTTAGTTGGTTTAGTTGTCCATCTAGGCTACGAGTTGAACTTGTACCAGGGATCAGAGGACAGCCCAGAGATGGTTCCTTTTGGCAGGCTAAACCCCAAGAGGTGCTTTTGGGACGCCAAGAGATCTCTGAAGTCTTGGTGCTCCTTTTGACGCCTCAAGGCTCGGTTTCCCCCAGCTCAAGAAGCGATCTTCTCAAATCCCAGGTGGCCTCAAACCTGCGAGAAGCGAATTTTCCCGGGATCTCTCACATTCCGCGGTCGTTTTTTTGGGCTTCAAGAAGGTTCAAGATGTTCAAGCGATCCGCTTGACATCTCTCAGCTCGGTTTTGGGGTTCCTGAAATGGGTTGAAAGGCTCTCCCTTGGGGTATGCATGCGTATATGTTTCTGCAAAAAAGCGAGGCATGAAGCCAGGGAGTTCCTTCGGTCATGGCCCAACAAAAGCAAGGCTATGTCCATTGAGCCACAATCAACACGGTGTGGCTAAGGAAGGGGGCAGTCCAAAAGAAGATTAGACGCGGCCGCTTTCCTGATTGTTTAGAGGGGGTTGGGTGGACCCTCAACTAGGTCCCCCAGTAGTGCCCTTTTACCCTTTATTGGGGGAGAGTTCCCCTACTAAAATAGACTACAGAATCAAGGGTACCCGTATTGTAACCTCTCTACTGGAGGACCTAGTCAATCATAGGCTTTGATCATGACTCAAGTGTGTCGCTGGGCGCCATGCACTGCCCTGAGTGAAAACGAATCATTCCAAGTGCCCATGTGCGAGCAAGTCATGCTTAAGGGGCCATTTTCCATAGACAATCAGTTGGCACATGGCTGGCTCTTACAGCGAAACCAAAAAGACGAAATCACGATTTTGAGGGGTATCCAATTGCGCCATAATCAAAACCCGGGTAAGTGAAGGTTGGAAAGGGGCAGTCCCAACCAGAATTATGTGCGGCCGCGTTTTTTGTTCATTGCATTGGTTTTGGTAGACCATTTTTATACCGACCGCTTTTGATTATATATGACTCGCATGACCCCATCTAAGCGTCCAGGCTGTTGCTTTCCTGTTGCTATCCCTCAAGCTTGTTTACGGGAGCCCAAAAGGAAAGCCAACGGCATCACCCATCAACGCCAGAACCATGTTCAATTTGGGTCTGTCTTCTTTTTGAGGGTACCCCTGTTTTGCTTGGCTTTAGAGGAAACCAACAGGACAACCGAAGCCATTGTGAGCCATTTGAGGGCCACGCGGTGCGGCTGGTGCCGCGGCCTGAGGGAGCATGCATCCAAGTTGGCGTTGGGAGCTAAGGAGCGACCAGGAGGTCTGTAAGGACATGGTTGGTCTCTGACTGTTTTGGATCCTTATCCCCTTCTTTGGTTGGTTTTACAGGGAAACCAAGAGGAAGACAAAACGGCGGTTTCGTGTGGTTCTTTTTGCTGGACGGGAAGCCCTTCAAACGCGCCCATTCCCTTCTTCTGGGTCCTCTCTGTTTCTCCGTTTTGTGATGGATTCCAGGATGCTTGAAGGGGAAAATCTGGGCTTGTCTCCAAATCGGGACCCCCCCCGGTGTGGTTTCCCTTTGGTTGGGCTTAGAGCCAAAAGAGGGTACCGACTCTCCAACACAAAGACGCACCCCACCCACCTTTATCGCATACAGGTGCCTTTTTTTAAAGTTGGCTTTTCTTTACCACAAGAACAGGTGTGTACCACCTCCGAAGAAGTTCCTCGAGCTATCGCCAAGCTGTCATAGCTTCAGGCCTGGTCGCAACACGGCGGCAGCACTGGAGGCTCGCACTGGGATGCTAGGGGTACCTTCCCCAGTCTTTCCTCCACGAACCCCCGCCCCCGACCATCCAACCCGGGATGTGCGACCAGGTGCCTGCCAAGGGCGCCCAGAAAGCTACAGCCTCGGCAGAAACGATTGGGAATCGGCAACGATTGGGTGGGAATCGGCTGGGAGAGAGAAAGAGAGAAAGAGAGAGAGAGAGTGACATCACCAAGAGTGACATCACCCTCACGGCTCGAGAGGGCGAGGTTTAAAAGCTACCAGGGAAAAATAGATCTGGACCAGGCGTTGGTTCTCCCATTGGTGAAACTGTCCAACCCTCGGGGTCAGGAAAGCCACCAGCCGGCTTTCAGGGTTCCGGAGGGTAGGACACCACTGCGCTGAGAGTCTCGGTTGTCCGGTGGCACCCTTTCTTCCCCCTTTTTTTGGTGGCTGCCCCCCACTAAATTGGTCTTCCCCAAAAAGGGTTCCCTTTTTTCTAGGGTCACTGAACAACTGAGCTTATTGGAAATTGGCCTATGATTTCGCCCAGGGGCTGTGACCAAGCGTTATTTGGCTTGCACCCCCGCGACCCCGACGCCGATCGACCGAGGTCCGGATTCCACATGGTCTATCGCCGGGGGAGGTGAGGAACCGGCATGGGGTGGAGAATGCAGATGTATCAGGGCTCCCAATTTGCGCGTGGTTGCTTTTAGTGGACCCCCTTCCAAATGTGGTTTTGTGCTTTCGTCTTCCTTTAACGCACAAAACAAGGGGGGGGAAGCCTAAAAAGAAAGAGACACCCACATTCTCTTTAAACATCAGCCCGGGTGAAATATAGGGAACCCTCGCCATCCCTGGCTTCTTTATTGCGTGAACATTTGGAGGCGCCTAGATGGCATCGGCGATGTTGCTGGATGCGCGCGAATGTTTCTTGGCTTGGTGTGTCGTTATTTACTCCTTTTTAAAGAGGCCTCTGCACAGCGCGTGCCTGGAGCTGGGCTGGTTGCCTAAAGAAGTGAACTTGCAAGGCGGCACCGGCTGGTTTTCTAAACAACCGATTTGCGATTTGCCTTTTCTACAACTGGGGGGGGTGCGTACTTGGGTGTTCGGCCAAGCTAGTAAGCCCCCCCAAGTAGAGTTAAGCTTGTTGTTAGCGGGTTATAACTCAGGTGGCTAACCACCTAGTAGCTCGGCGAATCGAACATCCAAGTGCCCACTGATTCAACTCATCTGGGCATCATCGTGACCACCAAGGGAGTTTCGACCCTTGTTGCATGGCAGGCCGGAGCCTGGTCCATCTCTACTCATCTGGGGATCGCGTCCAAATTTCCCAGATCGGGGGTTGTCCTGGTTCCCTTTTGGTTTTGAGGTTGAGTTTCCTGTTTAGGCTTGCCAAAAAGATGTTGTTGTTTTTTTGATGTGAAGCTAAGGTTGGTGGTGGTTCTATTTACATGTTACATGTCCCTAGCCAGGGTACGTCACGTAAGTAGTTAGTAAGCCTGGTTCTATCCCTCTTGGGAGACTTATAACTACTTGTGAATGTATATTTTTTTTCCCACTTACTAAGTACGCTGCCCGTTTTTGTAAGGGAATGGGTTTTGATCGTGGGTACTGCCCACTTACCTCACGTACCTGCTGCCCATTTCAGGGAATGGACCGCCGAAAGAGCGCCGCCGTCGGTTGGCCGGTCGCAGGCCGCTGAGATGTGGGCCTTCCTGCATGGGAACTGTTCGGCCGCTGGGTAGATCTCGAGCGCAAGCGATCGGGGGGCAGATTTTTGGGAGCTCTGGGGCAAACTTCTAGGTGACACTTCCACATTCTTTCCAGGGATCCTTCTTTCCAGAAAGTCATCAGAATTTCAGGGGAAACAGCTGGTTTTTGAATAGAACGATGGTTAAAAAGAATGGGGAATGAACCCCTAGAAAACTGAGTCACTTGCTCAAAACGAATCAGGTTGGCCGTTCTTGGGTTTGGGTCCCACCGTTCGAGTCGTTCTTCAGTGGTTCCTCTGGGGAAGTGGAGAAAAGTAAAGGACAAGCCCAGCTAGAAATTGTTCCATTCTTGAAGCATGGTTCTGGGTAGAGGATTTCAATACCGGGTCTTGATGATCTTGGTGGCTCCGACTCCCATCCGGTTCTGTAGCTTTTTAGCTTTTCAGTGTTCAGGTGGCAGTTTCCGTTGAACCCACGAAAAGTTAAAAACTTTTAGCGGGGGATCGGAAAAGGGGCAACGCAGCTATGACTCAGCTGAGCTCAAGGTTGAAGGGCCGATGCCTGGGTTGTGGAGACTCCAGGTAGTTCTTTCCGGGTCCGAAATTCGGCCACTGAGATGGACGAAGTGTGGGATGTCTTTGGCTTTTCCGGATTTCGGTACCTTCCATGGGGGCCTTTCTGTTTGGGGAAGCATCCGGAACCCACTTCCAGTTCTTGCCTCAGCTGGCTTCATCTTGCTGCAGGGAAAATTGACGTGGAAAATGGACCTTCTAAGCCATCCAACTGGTGGTTTTTCTTTTTAAGGGAATCCCCTTCTGGTTCATTCCCACCTTCCCTACCTATCGCAACGGCAAGTTCTGCTGTTGATTGCAAGGCTATATGAACCTTCACACCCTCATGGATCCGCTCCCTGTAGGGAAGTCGAGGAAAAGGCAGCCCCCGTGACGATGTATGGGTCTGCAGTGTTTTGGGGTACCCGTCGCTTGGCGGTTTTAAAAGTGTTTTAAAGGAACACCGAAGGGAAACCCGCCTTTTTTCCTGTTTTTTGGGGGGGTCCTCTGAAAATTGCTCAACTGAAAGCAAATTGTACGATTTGCAACTGATAGAAGATGAATGGACAGCACAGCAACCAAAGACATCAGACAAGACTTGGACAGGCAGGACAAAAATTCGAGGAGCATCAGGAATTTTCAACACAAATGCGGCCAGATGATGAGGAACAACACAACAATTCCCAAAAGCAAACGTGGTACAAGCACCACAGAATCAACAGGCGGACCTCCCCCAAAATGTTAGGCTTTCCTTGTGGCTTACCTTTAAATCAAGGCGAACAGCGTACGCACGCACACAGAAATATCAGCCGTTCTGTGCCGTTCAGAAATCGATCGACGTCTATCGAGCCTGGGCTTAGGTTGTGGAGGAATCGATCTCCTCCTGCAAGGAGCCGTCCGGTTGGGTTTCGAGGCATAGGTGTCCTTTTTGGTTGTTTTCGTAGACGAATAGATGGCGATTCCTGGTTTACCTGGTGGTTTTTCCTCATCCACCAGGGAAACGCATCTATTTCCCCCAAAGGGACACCCATTCCAACAACGTGTAGAAAGTGCAGAATTGCTTTTGGAGGTATCCCCAGACCAGGGAAACCCGTCTATTTCCAACCTAAAAGGACCCCTATGTTTCAAGGGCATTCTTTTTAAAACCACCAAGCAAAGGTAGACAAGGTCCCCCAGTAGTGCCCTTCTCTCCCCTTTCTTGGTTGGGAAACTTTACCCTACTAAAATCGACCAAACATACAAAAAGGGCATCTCTCTTTTTTTCTTCTGAAAAACCCCCGGTGTTTTTTTTCCTTAAAAAACAAAAAAACAAAAAAGGATCTGAGGATCTGAGGATGTCACGGGATCAAAACTGCCGGTGTATATATGAGCCACGGACAAAACACACGAAGACCACTTTATCAAGGCGGGGTACGTTTTTGCATAACACATGCCAAAACCATGCAAAACGATAAGGTCTCCCCCAAAAACGATAACCCTTAGCTAACACACGGCTCAATAATAACCCCTGCAGTTGCAACTTAGCTAGGGTGGGACCCTTGCGTGGCCACCGTAAAACGAGAAGGCGAGTCGCCACTTTCGAGCTGGAGCTGCCAAGGTGTGCTTCGTAAATACGACACTTGTACTGAGAAGTTGCGATTTTCGAGCTGGAGCTGCGGAAGTGTACTTCGCTTACCAGACTTGTACTACAAAGTTGCGATTTTCGAGCTGGAGATGTGGAAGTGTACTTCGCGTACTAGACTTGCACGACAAAGTTTCGATTTTCGAGCTGGCGCTGCGGAAGTGTACTTTTCGTACTAGACTTGTACTCCAAAGTTGCGATTTTCGAGCTGGAGATGCGGAAGTGTACTTCAAAGTACTAGACTTGTAATACAAAGTTCCGATTTTCGAGCTGGAGATGCCGAAGTGTACCTCGCGCACTAGGATTGCACTACAAACTTTTCGAGCTGGAGCTGCGGAAGTGTACTTCGCGGAAGTGTACTTCGCGTACTAGACTTGTACTACAAAGTTGCGATTTTCGAGCTGGAGCTGCGGAAGCGTACTTCCCGTACTAGACTTGTACTACAAAGTTGCGATTTTCGAGCTGGAGCCGCGGAAGTTTACTTCGCGTACTAGACTTGTACTACAAAGTTGCGACTTTCGAGCTGGAGCTGCGGAAGTGTACTTCGTGTACTAGACTTGTACTACAAAGTTGCGATTTTCGAGCTGGAGCTGCGGAAGTGTACTTCGTGTACTAGACATGTACTACAAAGGTGCGATTTTCGAGCTGGAGCTGCGGAAGTGTACTTCGCGTACTAGACTTGTAGTACAAAGTTGCGACTTTCGAGCTGGAGATGCGGAAGTGTACTTTGTGTACTAGACTTGTACTACAAAGTTGCGATTTTCGAGCTGGAGCTGCGGAAGTGTACTTCGCGTACTAGACTTGTACTACAAAGTTGCGTTTTCGAGCTGGAGCTGCGGAAGTGTACTTCGCGTACTAGACTTGTACTACAAAGTTGCGATTTTCGAGCTGGAGCTGCTGAAGTGTACTTCGCGTACTAGACTTGTACTACAAAGTTGCGATTTTCGAGCTGGAGCTGCGGAAGTGTACTTCGCGTACTAGACTTGTACTTCAAAGTTGCGATTTTCGAGCTGGAGCTGCGGAAGTGTACTTCGCGTACTAGACTTGTACTACAAAGTTGCGATTTTCGAGCTGGAGATGCGGAAGTGTACTTCGCGTACTAGACTTGTACTACAAAGTTGCGATTTTCGAGCTGGAGCGCTGTGGAAGTGTACTTCCTGTACTAGACTTGTACTACAAGTTGCGATTTTCGAGCTGGAGCCGCGGAAGTGTACTTTGCGTACTAGAATTGTACTACAAAGTTGCGACTTTCGAGCTGGAGATGCGGAAGTGTACTTCGCGTACTAGACTTGTACTACAAAGTTGGGATTTTCGAGCTGGAGCTGCGGAAGTGTACTTTGCGTACTAGACTTGTACTACAAAGTTGCGATTTTCGAGCTGGAGATGCGGAAGTGTACTTCGCTTACCAGACTTGTACTACAAAGTTGCGATTTTCGAGCTGGAGCTGCGGAAGTGTACTTCGCTTACTAGACTTGTACTACCAAGTTGCGATTTTCGAGCTGGAGCTGCGGAAGTGTATTTCGCGTACTAGACTTGTGCTACAAAGTTGCGATTTTCGAGCGGGAGCTGCGGAAGTGTACTTCCCGTACTAGAATTGTACTACAAAGTTTCGATTTTCGAGCTGGAGCTGCGGAAGTGTACTTCGCTTACTAGACTTGTACTACAAAGTTGCGATTTTCGAGCTGGAGCTGCGGAAGTGTACTTCGCGTACTAGACTTGTACTACAAAGTTGCGATTTTCGAGCTGGAGATGCGGAAGTGTACTTCGCGTACTAGACTTGTACTACAAAGTTGCGATTTTCGAGCTGTAGATGCGGAAGTGTACTTCGCGTACTAGACTTGTACTACAAAGTTGCGATTTTCGAGCTGCAGAGGCGGAAGTGTACTTCGCGTACTAGACTTGCACTACAAAGTTGCGATTTTCGAGCTGGAGATGCGGAAGTGTACTTCGCTTACTAGACTTGTACTACAAAGTTGCGATTTTCGAGCTGGAGATGCGGAAGTGTACTTCGCGTACTAGACTTGTACTACAAAGTTGCGATTTTCGAGCTGGAGCTGCGGAAGTGTACTTCGCGTATTAGACTTGTACTACAAAGTTGCGACTTTCGAGCTGGAGCTGCGGAAGTGTACTTCGCGTACTAGACTTGTACTACAAAGTTTCGATTTTCGAGCTGGAGCTGCGGAAGTGTACTTCGCGTACTAGACTTGTACTACAAAGTTGCGATTTTCGAGCTGGAGCTGCGGAAGTGTACTTCCGTACTAGACTTGTACTACAAAGTTGCGATTTTCGAGCTGGAGATGCGGAAGTGTACTTCGCGTACTAGACTTGTACTACAAAGTTGCGATTTTCGAGCTGGAGCTGCGGAAGTGTACTTCGCGTACTAGACTTGTACTACAAAGTTGCGATTTTCGAGCTGGAGTTGCGGAAGTGTACTTCGCGTACTAGACTTGTACTACAAAGTTGCGATTTTCGAGCTGGAGCGCTGTGGAAGTGTACTTCCTGTACTAGACTTGTACTACAAGTTGCGATTTTCGAGCTGGAGCCGCGGAAGTGTACTTTGCGTACTAGAATTGTAGTACAAAGTTGCGATTTTCGAGCTGAAGATGCGGAAGTGTACTTCGTACTAGACTTGTACTACAAAGTTGCGATTTTCGAGCTGGAGCCGCGGAAGTGTACTTTGCGTACTAGAATTGTACTACAAAGTTGCGATTTTCGAGCTGGAGATGCGGAAGTGTACTTCGCTTACCAGACAGACTTGTACTACAAAGTTGCGACTTTCGAGCTGGAGCTGCGGAAGTGTACTTCGCTTACTAGACTTGTACTACCAAGTTGCGATTTTCGAGCTGGAGCTGCGGAAGTGTATTTCGCGTACTAGACTTGTGCTACAAAGTTGCGTTTTTCGAGCGGGAGCTGCGGAAGTGTACTTCCCGTACTAGACTTGTACTACAAAGTTTTGATTTTCGAGCTGGAGCTGCGGAAGTGTACTTCGCTTACTAGACTTGTAATACAAAGTTGCGATTTTCGAGCTGGAGCTGCGGAAGTGTACTTCGCGTACTAGACTTGTACTACAAAGTTGCGATTTTCGAGCTGGAGATGCGGAAGTGTACTTCGCGTACTAGACTTGTACTACAAAGTTGCGATTTTCGAGCTGGAGCGCTGTGGAAGTGTACTTCCTGTACTAGACTTGTACTACAAAGTTGCGATTTTCGAGCTGGAGCCGGAAGTGACTTCGCGTACTAGACTTGTACTACAAAGTTGCGATTTTCGAGCTGGAGCTGCGGAAGTGTACTTCGCGTACTAGACTTGTACTACAAAGTTGCGATTTTCGAGCTGGAGCTGCGGAAGTGTACTTCGTGTACTAGACTTGGAAAGTGTACTTCGCGTACTAGACTTGTACTACAAAGTTGCGATTTTCGAGCTGGAGCTGCGGAAGTGTACTTTGCGTACTAGACTTGTACTACAAAGTTGCGATTTTCGAGCTGGAGATGCGGAAGTGTACTTCGCTACTAGACTTGTACTACAAAGTTGCGATTTTCGAGCTGGAGCTGCGGAAGTGTACTTCGCGTACTAGACTTGTACTACAAAGTTGCGATTTTCGAGCTGGAGCTGCGGAACGAGCTGGAAAGTGTACTTCGCGTACTAGACTTGTACTACAAAGTTGCGATTTTCGAGCTGGAGATGCGGAAGTGTACTTCGCGTACTAGACTTGTACTACAAAGTTGCGATTTTCGAGCTGGAGCTGCGGAAGTGTACTTCGCGTACTAGACTTGTACTACAAAGTTGCGATTTTCGAGCTGGAGCTGCGGAAGTGTACTTCGTGTACTAGACTTGTACTACAAAGTTGCGATTTTCGAGCTGGAGTTCCGGATGTGTACTAGACTTGTACTACAAAGTTGCGATTTTCGAGCTGGAGATGCGGAAGTGTACTTCTCGTACTAGACTTGTAGTACAAAGTTGCGATGTTCGAGCCGGATCTGCCAAAGTTCGAAAACACTGTAAAACGATAAGGTCTCCCCCAAAAACGATAACGTTCAAAAAAGTACTAGGGCCAAGTAAAGTGTTTCGTCCGCTCCTCATATATAATTATATATATATATATCTTCTAACAAAAGTTGGCATCTCCTCCTTCCAGCTCCAAGCCCCGAGCCAGCGGGCTCCGAAGCCAAGTCCAGCTGGTGGGTGTCCAGGGCTTAGGTTTGGAAATCCATGGAAATCGATGGAACCGCTTTGGAACGGACGTTTTTTTTTTTTTAAACCACTCGCCAGGGAAGTCCCAATCTTTCTATTGTTTTTTCCAAAAGGTCCACTTCTGCCCCATGTTTTGCGGGCTGAGCTGGCAAACATCTCGCCCCCACCGGACACCACCTGGGCGTTCCTCGAGTTGCGCCCTTGTACCAACCTTTTTTTGGGAGGGTTCCCCTACTAAGATAGACAAAACCTTTTTCTTTTTTAAATACGAGAAAAAAGGAACAAACACATCGGGGTACCCTTATATATTCTAAGCAACCTCTACCGGAGGACCTAGCCCACCGAAGCGATCCAAAGGGCGGGCAAAGTTGTCGCAACGCCGAAGACGAGGACAGCGGGGACCTGGTGCTGGAGGTGAAGATGGACCACGCCGCGAGGTCCAAGCCGCTCGTCAGAATGAGAAGGACGGTGGGGTCTCCTTGGTACTCTTCCATTTTGTTTAAAGTGTGTTTTCTTCTTTTATTTTTGTTTAAAGTGTTTTCTCCCTAAACCCTCATTCATCTCATTCATCTCATTCATCTCGGACCCTTGGATAGGAAAAGTCGTCGGCTTCCCTAAAACCTCTCCAACCCTTGGCGTCGATGCCACCAGGTGGGGGACCGCAGGTGTGAGTCCGCAGGTTCCATTTGCCAGGGTAAGCCATTTTGGGTACTTTTTTTGTACCCACAGCCAAATGAATCGATTTTTTAAGTTTTCCCTTGTTGGTCTTAAAAGGCATTTATCACTGCTGTTTTTTTTTCCAGAGGTTTAACGAAATGGAAGTACTTGGATGTTCGGCCCAGATACTGGCAACAGGATTTCACCACCAGGTTAAAGGGAAGCCGTGTTTCTGACTTTAAACCCCACAGTCAACATATTGCTCCCGGAGTTCGTAAGTGGGGAGAAGGCCACCTGGGATCTATAAGCCACGAAAACTAAGGTCCACTCCACTGCACGGGGGACTTCTTTACGCGGGTTCCAACCGAACGCTTACCAGCAAACCGAACATCCAAGTACTGCGAAGGCTTCCCATCAGATTCCTTTTAGCCATTGAGCTGCAAATCCGGAAAGTGCCGGGCCCGACGAGAAATCCGGATTCCCGGTAAAAGAGCACGGCGGGGTGTATGAATCTGGGGTGCACGTGACCTGAAGTCTCCTCCTTTTTTTGGCACAAGTTGTATGTTTTGGAGACGACAGAGTCAGAAAGTATGTTGTGTGTACCCCTTGTTTGTGGGCCAAGTAACGTCAGGGGACAATGATGTTGTTAACATTACTTTGCTACTGTGGCTAAAGGGGATTGATAAATCCGACAGTTACTTTCATGTACTACTGTTTGACTACCCAAGATAGTCTTAAACCTTCTTGGGTTGATTTACCCAAGAAAGACCAACTTGGGGAGTTCCAAAGCAGAAACCTGAATAATTTCGTCCTTTGAACCACATCTCTTTCCCCAGAAAATCGGCTCCAGGCTGGTCAAGGAGGAGCAAGGGATTCCGGTCCGGGGCCGCCCCATGTTTTTCACCTTGCGAGGTTTCTGAAGCGCTTTGGCGGCGCCTGGCTGCTCTGACGAAAAAAAGGCGCCCCACCCATGTGCCGACGCCGCGAGCGCGCGAAAGCGGCTGTGAGCGCGTGGCTTTCCGCCTGGAGCCGCGGACCCGGCGACGAAGGGCGACGAAGGATGACGCGAAGGACGGGGTTGTTGTTGTTTTTTTTGGGCGGAAACCAGGGCCACCACGCCTGCATCTCAAAAAACATAAGAGGAAAAAACGGGACAAAAATCAACAACAAGGTCCTTTATGGTGGTTCCAGCAAAGCCGGCTTGCCTGCTAGACTTCAACAACTACTTGGACGTTTTTTCTTTCGCCAAGTTCGCAAGGGGGCAAGGCCACCTGTGTAAGCCACCAGGTGAACTCCACTGAGCGGGGGGGGACTTCTGTCTGCGGTTGTAACCGAACGACTACCAACAGCAACACTCACTTAGACTTGGCGACTCGCACATCCAAGCGGCGAATCGAACACGTTAGGGGTCCAAGACCCTTTGACCAGGGTGTAAACAGTTGAACGGGGGGTGTCATGATTGGAGAATCATGTGAGAAGTGTTTCGCCCCGATCTTTTTGGGGCTTTGCACAAGAAACAACCACAATCTTGATCAAATTTTCAAAGCGAGACACAGAAGGCATCAAGCCGTGATGCCTTCGAGTCAAAACAGGCCTCTTCGGCTGAGCGGGTACAAGCGGGTGAGTGTCAGAATGGTTGGTTTGATTGGCACCGCTTGAAACTAAAACCAGAAAGCGTACCCTCAAAAAGACGAGCGCCCGAGCGATTGGGAGCCGGGGATGCTTTTGTGGAGAGGGAAATACAACAGTTTGGGTGCGTGTTTCTTCGTTTAGGAGTGGTCGATCAAACCGCAATCCGGCCTGCATTTTACTCATTGCCAAGAGATTCAACGTGGACATGGCAATTTCTAGATTTGCAGGTTCCTTTGCTTGCTTGCTTGCTTGCTTGCTTGCTTGCTTGCTTGCCTGCCTGCCTGCCTGCCTGCCTGCCTGCCTGCTTGCTTGCTTGCTTGCTTGCTTGCTTGCTTGCTTGTGTTTGTTTGTTCTTTCTCTTTCTTCGTTTCTTCCTTTCATGCTTATGGTTTCTTCCTTTCTTCCTTTTTCCTTTCTTCTGCTCTTCCTTACTTTGTTCGTTTTTTGTGTGATTTGTGTGCCTGCTTGCCTGCCTGCCTGCTGGCCGGCCGGCCTGCCTGCTGGCGGGTGTACTGGCTGCCCACGTCCGTGTGCGCCTGACTGCCTGCTGGCTTGCCTTGCCTTGCCTTGTTTGGCTTGTGTGTTTTCTTCCATTTGCTTAAGAATATGTTTGTTTTCTATTTTCCCTTGTTGGTTTTACAAGGAATTTATCACATTTTATCACTACTGGAGACTTTTGTATTTTTTCCAGGGGGCTTAAGCAAATGGAAGTTGTGTGTTTTGTGTTGTGACCTTGCGTGGCTTGTGTTGTGTGACTTGAAATGGGGGGCGCAATGAAGCAAGTCTGCGCAAGGACGGGCTGAAGGACTATGACCTCAGAGCATCAGAGTGCTGGACAGCTCGGCTCCATGGCATCTTGGAGTCAGATGCCAGAGGCAGAAGCTGGTGGGCCAATCCCACCAGAATGGTTCTAAGAACCCTTCTAAGAACCCCTTCTGAGAAGGTTCTAAGAACCGCTGTGGGGGCCTTTTCATTTCCGCATGGGGCGAAGGTGGCGCTCGCTGAGGAAAAGGGCGTCCTCATTTTACACGAAAGCGAGGTTGGATGCTGCGGACTTGGCTGGACCGTAAGAGGCACACCTAAGCCACGCGTGCCACGGTCCAAAGACAGGTTGTCTTGTCAGATTGATGGTCCACCGTTTGGGAAAAGGGCAACATTCCAAGGGTTCCTACTTGGATGTTCGATTCGCAAAGTTAATATGTGGTTAGCAACCTGAGTTTCAACCCGCTTTATGTCCCCCGTTCAGCGGAGTTAGCCTTTGTGGGTTACCACACAGTTGGCTAACCACGAACTTGGCAACGAAGATCCAAGTAGAGGGCACCATGTTAATTTCGGATTCATCCGGCGGACCCTACTAGTCAGAGCGGAACCTCCCTAAATTGGGTTCCATTTCTGTACTAAAAAGGGAACCCCCCTGTCCCTGTAAACCAACCCCAAAAGGGGACCAACTTAAAAGCACAAGACCTCTAAGAGGCGCAAGATCCAAAGAATATGGTTTATTTCCCCTGCGTTTTGAAAAGGGAATCTATCATCACTGGACGTATTGAAAAATCGCTACGCGATCCGCCGGCGCCATCTGCCATATAAGTTCCCATGGCTTGGATATTCTATGCAGCCATTGCCCGACATGTCTGGCTCCAGGGTAATTCGACCTGCAAGTCATTGCGTCGTTGCGATCGGACTGCCCTACGGGCAGGGATCGGGCTTTGTCAAAAAGGGAAAGCAAGCGCAGGTGGTTTGAACACCAGCCCAGATGCAAGGCGTGCGCAAGGAGCAAAGCTGCAGGTTCCCTTCAAGACTATCTAGGACCGAAACCAGGGGCTCCTGGAACACTATTTTCTATTTTAGGATGGACTAAGTATGGAACAGAGTCAGACACATGTTTTTTTTGGAGCATCCCTGTGGGCCAACATGCCCTTAGTTCTCATGGCCCCTAGGGCGCCAGAGAGATATTCTGGGAGGTCTTGCCGCAGTGGCAGGTGTGCAGGGGTCAAATCCACTCGTTGCTACTTTGAGATGAACCGAACTGAACCGGTCTCCTTCTAGCTATAAACATATTTCGGGTAGACTAGGTATGGAATAGAATCAGAACATGTTATTTTCCGTGTACCCCGGCCAAGACTTAGCGAAGGGGGTCCTTTGTTTCTGGGAACAATAAAACACGATTCTACCTGCTGGTCCATGTTTGATCGATCTGGTCGAATGTGAGCATCAAGCCAACACAAAGCCAACCTTTCGCCCTGGGATTCAGGCAGGGAACCATTGAAGCCAACTTGTTTGGTTGGGTTCATACTTGGCCACCATTTTGCTTGACCGTTCAGGATTGTCATCATCTAATTTGTTGGTCCTCTTGGTTGCCATTCCTTGAATGGACGGGTTTTGGAAATCCCAAGTTTCAACCCTGAAAGGGGCAAGTACGCCAGGTGATACTCCACTGAAAGGAGACTTACAACCATGTTCAGCTGGTAAGCATCATGATTGCTACCCACCTACCTGACGTCTGCATCCATCGCCCCTTTCAGTACCACCAGGGGTCCATGAATTCAAGCGACCTTGGGGTGGAGTAGCGCACCATAGGCGAGCAACCGGAAGCCACCAGGACGTATTTTTAGTAAAATGTAATTTAGATATAAAGTGTTAACTAAAATTATTATAATCACATTAATTAACTGTATTAATTACATTGATTGATAACTTATAATGTAATTTATAATTTATTAACTTATGTTATTTTTGATTGATTCGTATGAAGTGCATTTTAGCAGAGCCCAAAAACCTCCAGTCGCTATGTTCGCCGCGCTCCTGGCCGCGGCTTCCGCCGCGTCCGCCGCGTCCGCCGCGTCCGCCGCGTCCGCCGCGCGCTGCGGCGGAGCTGAGCCGCAGCTGGGGCTCCGGGAGGGTTTGGCCGCGGCGGACCTAGGGAACTGCAAGGCGGAGCCGCCATGGTGAGAGAAGCCACCAGAATACCCCCACTTTCTTTTTTAAATAAAGAATTATATATATAAATTTTGGGTGCTTGTGCAAATAGGGCAACTTGGTTGGTTACTAAGGAGAGGCCATGTTTTTTTCTTCTTCTTCTTTTTTTTCAGTTTTTACCCACTTAGCAGTATATGATACCCCCCAATACTGGAAGAGCCCTTGAACTACTTGGGTCTTTCTCAAAATTGGGGAGCCATGGTAATATCTAGGACAACGGGCTAGTTGGTCCCCTTGCCATGGCTATAATCTGAATCAAGGGGCGATCGAGGCGATCGATTCGGTACGTCGGGTAAGTGAGAGTACGCTTGATTATAACCCACTGAAGGGAGACTGAAGTAACCATGGTAGCTAGGTTATAACCAGGCTTGCTGACCACTTACATGACGTACGGTGCCCCTTGAAGGAGTCATGTGAACGGCACCTCTTTCCTTTTATGTTTTCCCCAACTGCAAGATGTCTGGGCTCCAGTAGGCCCAAATAAGCTCAGTTGTAAAACCTGTTTACTCCCATTGCTCATCCCCTTTCTAAAAAACGAATTGCTCCCCCCCCCAACACAGGAGGCTGCCATCATCTTAAAATGGTCGCCTGTCCACTGCCATGATTGTTGGAAAGAGCGCACAAGGTGTGTTCATCAAGCATTCCCCCTTGGATTACATGTTGGCTGTCCAAATGGTGTGCAGTCAGAGCCATGTTTAAGCCGTTTTTCCAAGAGGACGAAAAACACACAAACGCCATCAACGAATTCCAGGAACGGCAAACAAAAGCACAAGAAGCCATCAATGCATGGCCCCCAAAAAAGGCCGTCAATGAAAGGCAAAAAAGCCACCGAAGAACGGCAAAAATTAACAAAAGGGCGCTGGTGCACCCAGCCGCGCTACCTGACGAAAACTCTGCTCGATAGAAAAATAGGGAAACGCACCGTAGCAGCTGGCCTCCTGGGCTTGGTGTGTAAAACGGGGAGCAGTTCTCATGCGAGCGGGCGTTGCTCGTGATTTTCTGTTCCTTGCCTTTTTTTGGTAATATATATATATATATAATTCTACTAGGAATCTGTTTCCTTCTGGTTTTGCGAGCGTCTCTGGCAGTTTCCCAGAATCCCCTTGCTTTCTGAAAGTGTTTCTCCTTTCCTTTCCTTCTTTTCCTTCCCTTTCTTTCTACTAGCGTCTCTAAACTCCAGTTCATGCACTTGGGCTTTTTCCTTTCCTGGCCTTTCATCTCATTATCCTGCCTTCACTGCATCATGTCCAGCTTTCCTGTGTTCATTGCTGGCATCTCTGCTTTTGTGCTTCCTTCTCCTTTGCAGTCACGTCTTAAAAGGGGGGGTGTTGCCTGCCATTCCCTGCCTTATCCTTTGCCTTCCCTTCCTTTGCATTTTGTTATTTTATTAAAATCTCTGCTCTCCAGTTCATGCAATGGGCGCCTGCCAGTTTATGCACTGGCAAGCCTTCCAGTCTGTTCTGGCCCAAGGTATTCCAGTTCATGCACTCGGGGTTCCTATAGTTTATTTTGGATTTTTCCGCGTTTTCAGTTCATGCAGCGATTTTTTATATGCTTCCAGTTCATGCACCCCCAGCCTTTTTTATGAGTTCTCTCACCATGGTTACTTACGAAGTACCCCTTCAACAACGCCAGCACCTACCCACCCCACCCACCCACCCCCACCCCAACCTCCCCCCAACCTCCCCCAACCTCCCCCAACCTTCCTTCCCCTCCCACCCCCACCCCACCCCCACCCCACCCCTCCCACCCCCACCCCACCAACCCCCCACCCCCCCCACCCCTCCCCGGCAGGTGGCCTGGGCCACCGCCCAGCAGATCCCGCGGGCGCTGGCCAGCGCGGACTTCGTGCTGAGCGAGCCTCGGGTCAGATCTCCTCCCTTCTTTCCAACGATCCAGCGGCGGTAAAAGGAAACAAAAGAGGGACACCACCCATTTTTAGGTGCGTTTTTTTTTTTTTTAGGGGGAAGGGGTGTTTTATGTGTTTTTTTTTTTTTTTGGGGGGGGGAAGGGGAGGGGGAGGGGGGGCTCGGTTTTCCTGGTGGTCTTCCTTCAAGCCTACTGTGGTTGGGGAATCGAATCATTCCAGGGTTTCTTAGGTGGTAGAGACTCAATTAGTCATTTTTTAATCATATATGTGTATATGATATGACCCTCTTTCCAACATGGAAGTGGACAGAGGGCTTTCCCAAAGGAAAGTCGTCTTCCGAAGCCCTTCTGTCAGCTTCCATGAGTCACCCCTTGGAAAAAAGCTACAGGATTATTCCTGCCTGAAACGTTGCAAGATTTGGGGGGTGTCTTGTTTTGAGGGTACACTAGTAACAACTGTTGGATGGTTTTAGATGCACACTAAGAGGAAACTACACATCTTGGGGGTTCCCCTAAATTGCAGACACTGGGTTCTCCTCCCTTTGGCTAAGACATGGGTTAGTTTGTACTTCTTCCCGAAACCACACATCTGTTTTATAGGAAAAGCAACCAGGTCCTGGTTCCTTTCAGGAAAACATGACGACCTCAAACAAAAAGCTCAAAACTGGGTAGTTTCCTTCCGCTGTTGTCCAAACTATGGGCGGCTTGTTTTTTTTGAGGGTGCCCGTCATTGGGGTTGGTTTAAAAGAACGCCTATAGGAGCCCACCGTTTTTTGAAGCAAACCCACATCTTGTATAGGGTAGACTATGAAACAGAATCAGATGATATTGTCTTGCTGGTGCTCAGCAGGGAATGAGGGAATGAGACTGGGCATTCCCTTAAAAGGTAACATTCATGTGGTGGCCAGGAGTATTGATCAACTTCATCTGTTTGATATGGCCATGAAGTTGATTGCAGAACCACCTCAAAGTAAATGGTGAACATGACTCCCCACCGTGATGTCGACCAAAGGGTCCCGCCCCCATTCTGATTTGTTTAGGCCCTTGCCCCCCCAAAATGGCAACGGCTTCCGTTTGGCTTCCTTTTTGTCCGCAGGCCTTTGCGAGGTGGCCTAAGACACCTTGCCGTTTCGACACGCCAGCGGCGCGCGTTTTCTTCCCGAGGACGACTTGGGCGCCATACCTTTCGCGGCGAACACGGGGCGCCTGGCCTTCTTGGAGAGACGCTTGGATTTCTTTCTCGGCCGCGCGTTTGGCGGGTTCAACCCATGGGCCAAGGATCGCGGCTTCTCTTCTTTTCGGGTCCCGATTTTGCCCGCGCTCCATATTGTAAGCCCAAAGGTTTGGGGGGGTTGCTTGTTGTTCTTTTGCCCCCCCCCCCTTCGTTTTCACGGATGCCCTGGAGGTTCAGGTGACAAAAGGGCTTGACCTGGTATGCATGACCAGCGGCTTTCAAAGGCGCCAACAAGGGGCATGAACCAGAGATCTTTCACCATGATCGCGCAAATGGCTTTTTCATGAAGCCTTCAATGGTGATTGACCTTTTGCTCAGAGAAGAGACACTTAAAGGATTCATGTGTTTCAAAGGGAAGCGAGATGGTTTCACTTTTCTCGGGAAGCTTTCAACCATTCTGTCCAGGGATCCTTATTTTCAGGAACCATCAACGTCCCAGGTTGCAACCAGCTTGGGTTTAAAAGAAAGGGGATCCAACCCCTACTTAAAGGAACATGTTGCTTAGTAAGTGGGAAATCATGGTTATATCCCACAAAAGCCTGGTTTCATTAGTTCAGTCTGCCTGTGGGTTCTCTCACCAGGCTTACTCTCACCATTTGCCTGACGTACCCTGCGTGGATCGCCCCGAGTAGAGCTTTGACTTTCCTTTACTCAGTTGCCCGGCGCTGCCATGGTGTCATGTGTTTTTTTGGGTTTCGGGTTCCCCTTGAAAGTCAACCAAGGACGCCCGTGTTTTTTTGCCGTGGAAATCCACCGGGCATCTGAGTTGACACCTTTTGTCAGGAATGCATCCCATGCCCCAGCTGACGGGCGATGCGCTGGACGGGGTGATCGCAGGCCAGGAAGTTTTTGTTTTTGGGCCACGGCTGGATATTGTGCTGATGAAAAAGCGCCCAAAACCACGGAGGCGAGACTGTGGACGGGCGAACTGTTGCACCACCTGAGAAGCCGTGGAATGATTCGATTCCCCAGCAAATACCAACCAACAATGGCTTCAACCATGGCTTCAAAGTGGTGCGAAATGGATTTCGTTCATCCACAGTAGGTGTCCTTTTGATCGGTGAGTTTGTTGGAACATAGATGGCACTGGTTTCCCTTTGGTTCTAATCATTTACCAGAGCAATCGGTTTTTTCCCCCCCAAAAGGACACTGGTGGCCAATGAACACCCCCTACTGATAAACCCCTGTTTATTAATATGGGGTGTCCCTGGTTTTAGTGAGGATTGTTCACTTTTGGAGGGGAAGACCCCCCCTATTAATAAACTGGGGTTGAATAAATCGGGGGTCAACATTATACACAAAAGTTCACAGGTTGTGCTCCGCCCGGCTCTTGGCAACACCCTGAGGTCCCAACTTTTTCTACACTGGTGTCACTGGACACCTGGCATAAGGTGTTGTGCTGGGTTTTCTTTCCGTTTTCCTTTGCGAGCAGAAGTGCGCCAGTGTGAGCGGACCAAGAGCCTGCATGTCAATCACGTTTGTACAACCTATCAACATTTGGTTTCAGAGGGAACATGTTGAACCCACCTCCCTTGATGCTTTTCATGCAGGGCAAGAAAGGGCAAGCTATTCTGATGCTACTTGAAGGGTCGATCGATTCGTTACATCAGGTAAGTGGCTAGTAAGCCTGGCTATCACAACCATGGCTTTTGTGGGTGACCTGACGTACAATGCCCCTTGAAGTGGTGCGGCTGAACCTTCCGTAGCTTTCTCGATCGAGCCCGCCGCGAATCGCCTTGGGTTTTTTTCATATCTCTCGGAGTCATGAGCGTGATGAGGTGCGCGCTGCTAGTCACCCTTGCCGTTGGCCAGGCAAGCATGGCAGATGACGCCTCATGTGCTATGCAGCTAGCCACAAGAAAGGAGGAGCTCACTCAACGCATCAACTTTACCGAAGTGAAAGCATACCGTGGCAAGTACTGCTACAATCCAGGTGATGAGAAGAGTGGCGAGTATGGACGCCTGAACGGCCTTGCCAGTCAGCAGGAGTGTGAGGACTACTGTTCCGCCGACCCCAAGTGCAACTTTTATGCCTGGTACTCACGAAGCAGGTGTGATGCATGTGCCCTTTACCAGAGCTGCACATACCAGCGCGACTCCGTGTGTCTGGATGGCCACTATCCGAAGGTGTACCAGAAGTCTCCTGAAGACACGGCCCGGCAACCCACACCAGTAAAAGGATACGTGGCGGATGTGACAAAGATGGGTCAGTACTGCAGGGGCGCGGAGATCGTGACTCTCGAAGAAGCGACCCTGGCAGAGTGCAGGTCCAACTGCAGTATGTTCTCCAACTGTTGGTACTTGGGGTACTACTACCGTTCTTCGCCGCGCGAGGATGCGACTGGCACTTGCACTGCTGCCTGCCGCCTCTTCAAAAATTGCAATTCGAGGGTGCCCTCTCTGTGCGAACCAAGTCCATACGTGTTCATGGCCACGACCACCACCACCACAACCACGACCACCACGACCGCGAACACCACCCCGTGAGCTGCACTGCACCGCATCTTGGGCGCTGAAGTGGTTCCATCCCGCTCAGTCCTTCGTACAGGGATCAAAAGGTACCCATATGTAGGGATCGAGTTGCCAGTACCCATTTCAAGATACGTTTCAAAGCCGTCATATATAATTAAGCTGCCCAGATGTCCGACATTCCCTCCCACGCGTGCTAGCTTGGGTTGAAACCATGGTTGAAACCATTGTTGCGCGGTATTTACAAGGAACGGTGGTGCGGAATGGATTTTGCAAGCATCCACTGTATGCTTTTTGGGAGGACAATCACCAGCTACTGGCTTGGTGTGATCTCGGTCAAGAAGGTCTACTCACACCAATGTGCGTGAAAGACCTGGAATCCAGACAGAGCGAAGGAGCAAAGCACTGTTGCGAGAGAGGGTGTCCTTTTTGTAGGGTTTGTTTGGATTGAAATGGACGGGTTCCACTGGTTTAGATTGGCTTTATTGCATTCACCAGGGAGCCCCATCTATTTTCCAAAAGGCCACCTATGTTGCCCCTATCTTGGTGTTTGTGTTTGCTCTTGCGCACGACACAGGCGAGCGCCAGGTGTCACATACATATGGGTGGGTTGTCTTTTTGCAGGAATCGGATCCCTCAAAATGGCATCCTTTTTCCTTGTCCTAAAAGCAACCAGAAAGGGTACTCCTTTGATTTCCCTTGAAACTACCCCGTAAAGAGAGTACTTAAGGGGCAGGGGGGTACGGTTACAAGTCTGCTAAGTGGGTTATCAGCGGGCTTACCGACCACTTCCCTGACGTACAATGCTCCTTGAAGTAGTGAGGCTGAGCCTTCCGTAGCTTTCTCGATCGAGCCCGCCGCGAATCGCCTTTGCTTATCTCGGAGTCATGAGCGTGATGAGGTGCGCGCTGCTAGTCACCCTTGCCGTTGGCCAGGCGAGCTTGGCAGAGGACGCCTCATGCGCCATGCAGCTAGCCACAAGAAAGGATGAGCTCACTCAACGCATCAACTTTACCGAAGTGCAAGCATACCGTCGCAAGTACTGCTACAATCCAGGTGGGTATGGGTCAAAATTAAGCCACCAGGATGTGGACCGCAGGTTTTAGTCCATGTTTGCATTTGCCAGGGCAAGCCATTCGGGGGTTATCCTATTTTTGACCCACAGCCAGGTGATGAGAAGAGTGGCGAGTACGGACGCCTGAACGGCCTCGCCAGTCAGCAGGAGTGTGAGGATTACTGTGCCGCCGACCCCAAGTGCAACTTTTATGGCTGGTACTCACGAAGCAGGTGTGATGCTTGTGCCCTGTACCAGAGCTGCACATACCAGCGCGACTCCGTGTGTCTAGATGGCGACTATCCGAAGGTGTACCAGAAGTCTCCTGCGGACAAGGCCCGCCGACCCACACCAGTGAAAGGATACGTGGTGGATGTGACAAAGATGGGTCAGTACTGCAGGGGCGCGGAGATCGTGACTCTCGAAGAAGCGACCCTGGCAGAGTGCAAGTCCAACTGCAGCATGTTCTCCAATTGTTGGTACTTGGGGTACTACTACAGGTCCTCGCCACGCGAGGATGCGAGCGGCACTTGCACTGCTGCTTGCCGCCTCTTCAAGCATTGCAGGTCGAGGGTGCCCTCTTTGTGCCAACCAAGTCCATACGTGTTCATGGCCACAACCACCACCACCACGACCACGACCACCACGACCGCGAACACCACCGCGTGAGCTGCACTGCAACGCATCTTGGGCGCTGAAGTGGTTCCATCCCGCTCAGTCCTTCGCACAGGGATCAAATGATACCCATATGTAGGGACCGAGTTGCCAGTACCCATTTCAAGGATGCATTTCAAAGCAGTCATAATTAAGCTGACCAGATGTCCGAGATTCCCTCCCACGGGTGCTGGCTTGGGTCTTCGATTCGCCAAGTTAGTAAGTGGAGAATGGCCACCTGAAGTGTAGCCCAACAAAGTCAACTACACTGAACTGGGGCTTAGAACCGAGTTATGACTTGGGTTAGTAGCAACTTACTAATTTGGCCGAGTTGACGAAATCCATTTCGCACCACTTTGAAACCATGGTTGAAACCATTGTTGCGTGGTATTTACAAGGAACGGTGGTGCAGAATGAATTTCGCAAGCATCCACAGCATCCTTTTTGGGAGCGTAATCATCAGCGACTTGCTTGGTGTGATCTTGGTCAAGAAGGCAAGGGGTCTACGCACACAAAAGGGTGTGTGAAAGACCTGGAATCCAGACAGAGCGAAGGAGCAAAGCACTGCTGCGAGATGGGAGTCTTTTTTTTGGTTTGTTTGGATTGAAATGGACGGGTTCCACTGGTTTAGATTGGCTTTATTGCATTCACCAGGGAGCACCATCTATTTTCCAAAAGGCCACCTATGTTGCCCCTATCTTGGTGTTTGTGTTTGCTCTTGCGCACGACACAGGCGAGCGCCAGGTGTCACATACATATGGGTGGGTTGTCTTTTTGCAGGAATCGGATCCCTCAAAATGGCATCCTTTTTCCTTGTCCTTAAAGCAACCAGAAAGGGTATTCCTTTGATTTCCCTTGAAACTACCCCGTAAAGAGAGTACTTAAGGGGCAGGGTACTTAGCAAGTGGTTAGTAAGCCTGGTTATTACGCACGTACCATGGTTTACAAGTCTCCTAAGTGGGTTATAACCAACCTTGCCAACCACTTACTCAGTACCCTACCCCTTCAAATACCCTCAAAAAGACTACATCCACGAGTCATCCAACATGCAAAGTGGCGATTTTCCAAACAATCCCGTCCCAAGCGACAGGCAAGAACCATCTGCTCTCGGTGCTGCTCCCAAACTCGACCTGGGACGACCAGATACGGCACATCGCGGACCAGGCCGCCTGGCCTGTGTTTTTGGCATGAACTTTTTTCCCCAGATAGCTGAAAGCTATAGGGGTTCTAACTTCTAATAAAGAAGGGAAAGTGATTTGCGAGATTGAGGGCCGGGTGCCGGGGGGCATGCAGTTTGGGGTGCTGGTGGAGGTGCTGTTTTTGCAAGCTTGACGGCCGGGTGCTAGGGGGCATGCAGTTTGCAGTACTGGTGGAGGTGCTGCTTTGCGAGATTGACGGCCGGGTGCCAGGGGGCACGCAGTTTGGGGAGTTGGTGGAGGTGCTGTTTTGCGAGATTGACGGCCAAGTGCTAGGGGGCATGTAGTTTGGAGTGCTGGTGGAGGTGCTGTTTTGCGAGATTGACGGCGGGTTGCTAATAAGCATGCAGCTTCGGGCGCTGGTGGAGGTGCCGCTTTGCGAGATTGGGGGGCATGTAGGTGCTGTTTTGCGAGATTGACGGCCGGGCGTTAGGGGTCATGCAGTTTCGGGTGCTGGTGGAGGTGGCGCTTTGCGAGATAGGGGGCATGTAGTTTGGAGTGCTGGCGGAGGTGCTGTTTTGCGAGATTGACGGCCGGGTGCTAGGGGGCATGCAGTTTCGGGTGCTGGTGGAGGTGCCGCTTTGCGAGGTAGGGGGCATGTAGTTTGGAGTGTTGGTGGAGGTGCTGTTTTGCGAGATTGACGGGCCAGGTGCTGTTTCGGGTGCTGGTGGAGGTGCCGCTTTGCAAAACTGACGGCCGGGCTAGGGGGCGTACAGTGTGGGGTGGCGGTGCAGGTGCTGTTTGGTGTTGCTGTTGGAGGTGCTGCTGACCGCGTGGCCTTATTTCCCGGATAACTGGAAACCATAGACTTCTACTGAGTGCTGTTCAGTTCAGGTGCTGGTGACAGTACGTGACGGCAGGGTGTTCGGGGACGTGTCCGGTGCTGGCGCGGGTGCTGCGTTGGGGTGCTATTGGGGCTGCTGTTTTCCGGTGTTAATGATGGTGCGAGCGCATATGGATGGCAGGGTGCTAGGGCGGGTGCTGTTTGGGGTATCGTGGTGGTCGCAGCATCATGATGCTGGCCGCAGCATCAGATGCTGCTGGCCGCAGCATCATGATGCTGTCAGCAGCACCATGATGATCTTGAACCGATTCGGACGTTGTTGCTGCTCTAACTCTCGAGCGTAATGATGGTTCGTGGCTTGTGTATCATCATGTGTTGTCAACCAAGTTATGATGCTGCTGCAATCGCTGCGGTGCCGCGTTATGGTTCGCGGGTGTGGTCAACATCAGGGTGGTGCTGAATTTCATTACACTGTCGCAAGATGATTCGTGGCTGTGGTGTCATCAGAAGGCTGCCTTTGCCATCACCATGATGCTGTGAACATCACCATGATGCTGTCCGCGTCATCATGATGCTGTTGAGCTCATCATGACGTCGTCTCTGCCTTTTTTCTGCTAGATATGTAGCGCAGCATCGTTCGTGGCTGGTGTATCAGCATCACCCTGTCAACATCATCGTTTTGCTGATGGACTCACTAGGACGTTGTCTGCACGTCTATGTAGCGCACTATGCTGAACAGCTGTGCTATTTTCCATGATGCTGTCAACATCGTCAAGATGCTGTCAACATCATCATCATGCCGCGGGAACCATTATGATGCTGCGTCAAGGTTCGTAGCCGTGGTGTGCTATCTGGGGCCTATGCTGGTGTAATTTGTTTTCCAATTGAGAAAATTAGTTGTTGTTTTGTTTTTGGCTCTCCGCAGTTTTATCTTGTCGAGTTAGCGTTTTTTCTTGGTGGCTCCCAGCAATCAGGTTCGAAAACTTTTTAGCATCTTAGTTGGTTTAGTGGTTGGGTGTCCGAGTTTCACCCACAAGTTAGTCACTGTTAGCAGCGTCAGAAAACCGGCAGCCCAGTTTTGTAGTTGGTTGCAAGTTGCGTGTGTTGCTCTGCCAAGGATTGGGCAGTGAAGCTAAAAGACATGAGACAGTTCCAGAAGAAAACAAAGGTGCAGATGAAAGGAATTATTGAAATCCTATTTCACATTGTTGATTTGTCCCACTCCGTCCCTTTTTGTTTGATGGGGTCCCCAATGGTCAACCCCGTAAAAGCGGCGACCAATTGTTTGGGGTAGAAAAGCAGCAAAGCCGAGCTGGCCTTTTGCTCGCCATGTGTTCTTTCAACGAAATGTTTACAACATATTCTTTTAAGCACCTCCATTTGCTTAAGAATATATTTTGGTGAGTTTCCCCTTGGCTTCAAATGGAATCTGTCAACAGGACATGTTTTATTTTTCCAATGGGACCTAAGCAAATGGCGGACACCCATCTTCGTAACCCCAAAAACGCCCTCTGCTAAGGCCACACTTCCTCTCGCATTCAGTAGCGCTCCGGCTCTACGGCTCCATTTCCCATTTTTCCGGGTGCATGGAGCGTGCGTGCGTCAGGTGTCCAGCTTTTCTTTGTTTCTGGGTTCGTTGGAGAGTTCCCACCAGCACACCCCAACGGAATTTGTTTGCCCCAAAAACCGAAAACAGAATCAGGTCACCCTGAGTTGGTGGATTGAAATTGAACCCCTGGTTCTTGCAGAGGGTACATGGGAAACCTCTCCACCAAACCAGCGAACCACCAAACCACCGCGCTCCAAACCACCAGCCAGGAAGCTGAACAACTCAAATACTGGGGCCTGGGCGCTGGCATGGTGGTTTTCTTCTTTCTTCGGATCCTTTCCTTCCATTTGCTTAAGTGTTTTTTCAAGAATATTATTCAAATTATTTTTCCCTTGTTGGTTTTAAAAAGGAATTGATCACAACTAGACATATTTGTCTCATTTTTTCCAGGAGTCTCAACCAAATGTTGAAGTTTCGTGTAGGTGCAGAACTCTCCTCGCGTTTTTCGGGGATCCCGACTCCATGGGTCGGTCGAAAGAAGTCGGGGCCGGAGCGGGGAGGCGCGCTGGCTGGTGCCGGAGCACACCTACGTGGACGATGGCCTGGCGGAGACTTATGGCGAGGCCTTCCGAAAGCGCCTCGATAGAAGGAGAAGGTGGGGGTCCAGTGGCCTAAGCCACCTGGATGGTGGGGGAGGGGGGTTGGGAGGGGTTTTAAAAAGGGAATCGAGCACCACTGGACGTACTGAAATCGCTACGCGATCCGCCGACGCCATCTGTGGTGCGACCATACGCTGAGAATGCAGAGGATGCAGAGGATGCAGCCAGACTGCATACCAGGCCAAATGTCCCCAAAAACTGGCCAGGGCGGGGGTGCCCGGAATGCAGGGAATGCTGGGGATGCCCGACTTCTAAACGCGCAATATTGCTGGGATGTTTCGGAGCGACACCCGTATACTAGTTGGGATTACGTCACTACACTTGCCCCCGCCAAGACCCCAAACATGCCAAATCCAACATCGTTCAAAACAGGAAAAAACAACACCACGGATATCAACAAAAACACCAACAAAAGGCATGCCGCCAAGACAGACCCAAAACGCCGGAAAGTTGCAGAGCTTTGGACACCCGGCAAATGTTGCCAAAGCATGGCCTGCCGAAGCCTTTGGCTTTTTAGAAGGAAGAGCAAGCTGCGGATTTGAGATCTGCACGCTTGACCGGCGTCGGCGGATTGCGGCATTCGCAAATGGAAGGGCAGAGCCATGGTTACCATGGTTGTAGAAAGCTTGGTTTCAGGTCCCCCAGCTAGGTGCCCCTAGACAGTTTCTTTTTTGGTTGGGAGGGTTCCCCTACTAAAATAGACCACAGAGAACAAATAGGGTACCCTTATTCTAACCTCTCTGCTGGAGGACCTAGACTCAGTCACATGCTTGGAAGACCTGCTCCTCGGCTGGTCTCTCTGAATCGCTTCCGCTAGTAAGACCTTGCGAGCCTCGCCTGTTGGTGTCCAGATGGGTCGACACAAATTGCTCGGAAGCGCGCGGAGAAGCTGCGGGACTGAGGTGTTTGGCTTGGCATTCTGAGAGCAAGCATCGCCTTTGCGCGTCTAAAACGAGTTGAGCCTCAAATCAACGGTTTGCAGATTTTGGACAAACCACGTGTTCAATGCTATTCTAGGGGTTGATTCCCCATTCTTTTCAGCCATCGTTCTTTTCAAAGACCAGATCCATTTCGCCAGGGTTTCAAGGGTGGTTTTCTAGAAAGATTCGGATCCCTGGGTTCAGAATGGACATGGAAGTTACCTCTAGAGCTATGCTTGGTTCACCGCCTGGAAAAAAGGAGAGAAAAACAAAAAAAACAGCCAGAAGGGAGCTCAGAGGAGAATCCGAGAAAGCCAAGCTGTCATCCTGGCCTTTTTTCGCGTTTTTTTCTTGCTTCAGAATCTCCATATCGGTTAAACCACCAGGATATGGACCGCAGGTGTTAGTCCAACCACCAACCACCAGGATATAGACCGCAAGTGAAATCGTCCATGTTTTTCCATTCACCAAGGCAAGCCATTTTGGGGGTTAGCCCATTTTGGACCCACAGCTATATTTTTGCCATGGCTCCCCTGTGCCCTTTGATCGATGTGTGCTCGCTCAGGCTCAGGAGTCAGCTTCTGGCAAAGGACCCGTCAAACCCACTCAATCTTTGTAGCAGCTTCCAGGTCGATGCAAAAGAGAAGATGCCATGGCCGCACACGAAGGCTTTCTTACCAGTGTGTATGCTGGCAGCGACATTTTTCGGCCAACCTTCTTTGAGCTAGTTGCGCAAGAACAACTTACGGAGGTCTTCAGGCCAGCGTTGCGATTTCTGGTGGACGTTTGGAGGGACAGAGCGCCGTCTTCAAGGCGCATTGACTGGGAATCTCTGTATACGCTGTTCCTCTTGCTGCTTGAAGCTCTACTGCTATTGGGTTGGATCTTTAGACTTTACTTTTTGGATTCCCCTCATATTTCCTTTTAACCAGCAAAAAGTTCGTCTCATATGTCCTTTTAACCAGGAACAAGTCCCCCTCATACTTCCTTTTAACCAGCAACAAGTTCCCCTCATGTTTCCTTTTAACCGGCAAAAAAAGTCGAACTTTTTGCTGGGGGAGCAGCAGGAAGGCTACCATCTCCGCGTACACGGGGCCACCTTCGCCGAGCACTTCTTCGGCCTGCAGCGCGCGAACCGTTCGAGCCGGTCGAGGCTGCCGCTCGAGGTGTTGGAAGCGGGGCGCAGGCAGCGCCATGCGCTTAGCAGGACCCAGTTGCCCAGTGGATTCCGCCCTTTTCTCAACTTTTTTTTGAGAAGGGTTCCCCTTTAAACTCGACAAACCAAAAACAAGTGTCCTTTCTTTCCACTTTCTTTGGGGTTTCGGGGTCCCTTTTAAAGTGAACCAACCAAACAGGAGGCCGTTTTCCTTTTTTTTCCCCTGGAAATCCGCTGGGCAGAGGAGACAGCAACTGGCATCTCTGGTGGTGGCGGTGGTGTTGCCTTGGCTGTGGGCCAAGTGCGAGGAGCGCTTCAGGCAAGAGTCAGCCGTGAGCCGTCCGGGGCTCTGGACGCGGATCTTTCCTGTCGTCCACAGCACCAAGGCATTGGCGGCTTTGGGCTATCGCGTGTTGTACCTGCTGAAGCAGACCGAGTTTTGGTCTCCTTGGCTTCATCTGCTGGGTCTTCAACTCGCGAGGCATTTTCCGGAACCTCCTTTACCAGAGGCAGAAGGCACGCCACGCGCACGTGCTCAGGAGTTTCTGGGCCTTTGCGGCCAGGCATCATTGTGGGGCGTCGTGTACATATTGCAGTTCATGCAGTGGTGGTACCACCGCGAGCACCTTTTGCAGCCCTTTCACCCTCGCAAAGCTCCTCCGCCGCCGCCGGAGCACTTTCCATACCCTGAAAGCGTGGCTTTGGGTCGCAGTGCGCGGCTTGCGCTGCTGCCGGAAGATCCCACCATTTGCACGCTGTGCCATCGCATACGGGTGAATCCAGCAATGTCGTGCAGTGGCTATGCGTTTTGCTACACATGTCTGGTGCCCCATGTGCAGCAGTTTGGCCATTGTCCAGTCTCTGGGCAGCAGATGACTGTGCCAGAGATTCGGCGGATCAGGGATGAGGTGTGAGAAAGTCCGCACCTTCGGATATCTTTGACACTACAAGGGAGCGTGCTAACTTTGACTTATGAAAGTCCTGGCATGAACTTATGAACTGTTGCATTGCATCGATTGTATGAGACTGGTTCCGCGTTCCCGCGGCCGAGGTACAGGTTCAGCCTTATTGTCGACGATGAGGAGCATACGGTCTCGCAGGAGGGGGCGTTCGAAACCAACTGAGGGTTTTTGTATTACACATTGGGATGACACCCTCGGGAAATGACAAAGCATGGTTCAAAATAACACGCTTTTATCCGCAAACGTGCCTAAATGGGGTCAATACCCAGTGGGTGTACTCCCAGGGTGTAATACAAAAACCCTTAGAAGCTGTGACCCAATTCAAAGGTTTAGGTGCGGATGGACAACATGCGCAAAACACACCAGCTAATAAGGTTTGATCCATCCCCAACTGGTGCCGATTGGCTCGCGGATTTGGTCCATCCACAGGGTACAAGCTAGACGCCGGAAGCTGGAATGTCTTCCCAAAAGCCGGGGGCGAAAGCTTATCTACTTGTGAATGAAAAGGGGATGGTGATTTTCTTTTACTGTTTCCTCTCCCTACCAGCAGTTGGGTGAAAGTGGATGACACCAATGCCCCATTTGGGTCTAGTCATACGCTTGACTTCCCCCCCGAAAAAGAAGTTGTGCCATCTACATTCACCCCGCAGCACTCAGCATTTAGGCCTTCATCCATTGCATGGGCTGGGCCAGCATCCCGATCTTCAACGGCTTTTCCCATTTGGTGGCGATGCTGCCGCGGATCATCCTGCCCTGGGACAAATCTAACTTCCGTCTGGAGTATTTGCTCTCCTTCCTGCCGGGCATCAACGAGGAAACCTGGGGGTCTCGCTTGAATTGTCTAGTGGGGTATTGGTTCCCCTCAAAGTCCTCGAAATGCTGCTTAACTTGCTGATCCTCAGTAGGGAATGGGAAGTGGAATGACCTCTACAAACCACCCCCATGGTTTCCTTTATTCGGGAATCTCCAGGTTCATTCCATTTCTCATTCGTCCTTTGGGGCAACGGCACCGGAACTAGGTTGCAAATGTCCCGTCCGAAGCTTCCTGTGGTTGGTGATGGTCTTCAACCTCTCAAAGTCAGAGTATAGTCACTTCTTTTTCATAGGATCCAACCCACCCCCTCCCGCAACCCCCCCCTAGTTGCCCCTATTACGGCCTGAAGGTCAACAGGGGGAGGGGGCTTCCGGGAGAGGAGGCTTTGGATCCTATGAAATGGTTCTCTTTTGAGGGATCCATGAGCATAAGGAGTTTTGAACATGGATCATCCCGCCGGTTTGTCCAAATATGTGGTATGCCGGCAGGGCAGGGCTGTTCTCTTTTTGGATTCCATTCAAACCAGCAGCAGCCATACAAACAAAAGAAACTCATCATCCGAGTTCCCTTTTGAGTGATTCAACCTCACCTTGTGATCCAACTCTAATTCAGTGTCTCTTTCTGGGACATATGGGTGTGTCGTGTTTTGAGGGTACCCCTGTTTTGTGGTTCTAAAGGGAAACCAAAAGGAACACCACCATTTTGGGGGCCGGTCCCCCTACAAAAGACAGCCCCGTTTTTCAGGATCCCGATTTGCCCTCTTTCTTCCATTTGCTTCAGACTATTTTGTTATTTTCCCTTGTTGGTTTTAAAGGAAATTCATCACCCCTGAACCGAATTTTATTTCTATTTTTCCAGGGGGCAAATAATGCAAATGGAAGCTTTCGATCGCAAAGCTGACGCCTGCACTTCGCTGGTTCTTCTGGCGCGTGTAGGACATTGGCACGCTCTGGCAGCAGCACCGGATGGTACAAGACCAACTTTTGTACAGCGACCTGCTCTAGTATGGGTGTGTCTTTCTTTAGGGAACATTTGGAGGATGTCCTTAAAATAGGGGACCCTCCAAAATGGTGGGTTTTTCCTTCAGTACCGTGCATGCATGGTTGCGAAATCTAGAAATCGCACCAACGGTCAGAAACCTGAGGATGATTCCCATGGCACACACTTCAAGCAAATGGTGTCCCATGGTTTCAAAATGGTGCAACATTTCGTCCATCCACAGTATGGGTGCGTCTTGTTTTAGGGGACCTTTTGAGGATGGTTGAGCTAAAATGTGTCAACTTGGTGTGTTTTAAAACCCTCCAAAATGGTGGGTTTTCCTTTCGGTTCCCCTTTAAACCCATCTCCAAAAGGATACGATCAACAAAAGACACACCACATGCAGGAAACCCCAAGTTTGTTGTTTGGATTGGCGGTTTGGATTTGGATTTGACCCCCTGGTTCTTGTTGAGGGAAAACACACCCCGGAAGACAACCAGAATCTCTGGGCTCCAAACCATGAATTGGAGGGAAGTTGACACCTGGCGAGGCGTCTTTGAATTCGGGAAATATTTTCCTGAGTGCAAAGACCTGAGGGAGAGGTCGCATTCAAGGGAAGCCAGGTTTCAGCACAGAGTTACATATGGAGGAGCCCTAAATGGGTTCTAACTGCTGGTAGGAACACACATGGGCCTTTGGTGCAAGCTGGAACCTCTCAGAGAAAGAGGTGCAGAGAGGGCTTTTCATGGAACCTCTCAGAGGGGGATGTTCCCACAATCCTTTGAAGCCCATGCATGGAATCTTCCCTTTGGTTTTCCCTCAAACCAACCCTCTTTCAGGTGCCATGATTGATTTCTGGAGGGCATCCTCAAGTAGACACCCCCCCCCCCCCCAAAAAAAAATAAAGAAGCAAACAAAACAAACAAGCAAACAAACAGAAATACGAAGAAGAAGAAGAAGACGAAGAAGAAGAAGAAGAAGACGAAGAAGAACAACAAAACAACAATAAAATTAAATAGATACGACATAAACCATCATAATTAACATATTAGTTTGTTTAAACATAAGTTTGATAAATCAATGAATGACATAGACAAATCATAATAAAACAATGCGTGAGTTCCCGATGGTTTCCCTTCATCGCCCCAAACGCAGGTATCCTCAACACTTGTGCGTGTGTGTGTGTGTGTGTGTGTGTGTGTGTGTGTGTGTGTGTGTGTGTGTGTGTGTGTGTGTGTGTGTGTGTGTGTGTGTGTGTGTGTGTTGTCTTGGAGGGCGCCTTGTTTAATCCTGGCTTAGAGCTGGGTCTAGTTTGATAGGTGTGTCTCAAAACAGGGCTACCCCCAACAATGGCCCCGGATTCCTTTTGGTTTCGCTTTAAAACCCACGAAAAGGGTACCCATTCGCAGGTTTGTTTTTGTTAGGGTATGCGCAAGACAGACGCGCCAAGGATACTCTGGCACCTTCCAGGACGCCTTTCGGGCCTCGACCTGCGCCCTTTGCGCGCACCATGAAGAACGGGAGGAGCCGATCCGGAACCGGACGGATCGGGGTCCCAGTGCTTCCCTTGGAAGCCCGAAGGTCCAAAGCCGTTCCTTGGCTTTGGGCCCCAAAGCCAGCTTTCAGGGCTCCTGAAAAGAAATTCATTTTGCAACCATTTGAAAATTGGGGGTTTTTCAACTCCAAAATAAAGGTTGAACCCACCATTTACAAGTTGCAATGTTGAGGTGTATAATGTAAGGATCCCTGCCTATGGTTGAATTGGTGGTTTGGAGGTGTGCTGGGGGTGGTTTCTCGTTCATCCTCTAAGAAAACCTAGACCTTTAAATCCCCAAACCAAGCCAAACCACCAACTCAGGAGTAGCTGAGAAAGGATTCTTTCCCTGACCCAGTGCTTCAGTTACCATTGTAGTAAGGGGACATGATGTAAACCTGCTAATATCTGGTTGACTGCTGTTTTTTGTGGCACCTGGATCCACTGCAGTTTGTGGTTGCGAAAGCCGAACCCACATGGGTGTGTGTTTTCTAGGGGAACCCCCACCCCGTTTTCCTTTTGGTGTTCCTTTGACTCGACATTCAACAAGAAGTGGGCACGCTCAAGACAAGACACACCATTTACCTGTATAGCAGGACATCTAGGGAAGCACCCTTTCAAAACCCAGAGGACAGTTGCTGACCTACCATAGTGGTGACTTGGATCTGGGATGGTTAGTCTTCTAGTGGTACCCTCCCACGTGGAAGTGCAAAAAGGCCCAACGAACCAAGAGCAAAGTCGACTTTCCACGTCTGTGCACTCAGGGATCTTTCTACTCTTGGTGGCTTTCCCAGCCATCCGGTTCCTTAGCCTTGTAGCTTTTTAGTGTTTGGCGGCAGTTTCCGAATTTAAACCCACTAGAAGTTTGAGGCACTTTTAGCGGGGGATCTGAAAACGGGCAGCCCAGTTCTGAAACCAAAAGGAGGCCGCCCATTTTGTGGGTTCCGGGCTCTTTCTATTGACACGGCTTCCCAGTTTAGGGCGCCACTTTGGTACTGTGGGAGGGTATCTGGGACTTGTTTGGGGGTTGGATGGGCTTGGGGAGTTGAACCCCTTGTGGGTAATTGGGAAGCCACCAAACCACCCAGCTCCAAACCACGAGCTGACTCGAGGCGCATGCGGTCCCATTTGGTTTGCTTAGGCCCCCGTGCGACTTGGGTATGGGTCGAAATTAAACCACCAGGATATGGACCACAGGTTAGAGTCATTGTTTCCATTTGACAGCGCAAGCCATTTTGGGTGCCTATTTTTGACCCACAGCCACGTCAACCCCAAGTTCTCCAGCAAAGGTTCATCAAAACAGGAGAGACCAACTCCAAAAACCTCGCGGCACCCCAGAAAGGGGGAAACCAAGTGGAAGTCTAGTGGCAACTCACAGAAATTGGTCCTAAGGCCTAGTTTTCCACAACATGTGGGTGTGCCATTTTCTGTGGGTTCCCCCTTTTTCTGCGGTTGTAAAGGCAAACCAAATGGAAGCACTTCATGCCGTGTTTCCCTGCGCAGGAGGTGCCGCTGGTCTTCGTGGGCGTATACTCGGCGGCCCAGAACTCCGCCAAGCGGCGGCTGGGGTTGAAAGGGCCCCACCACTTCGCTCTGCGGAGCTCGGGAACTCACGCCCTGCGAGGTTCAAAGGACTTATATGCGTTATATGGTAAGTAGGTGGGATTTTTGAATTTATTGTAAGTAGGTGGGATTTGAATTTCTGAATTTCTGGTTCTTGTAGATGGAAGCTGCCCGGGATGTATTCTTGTTGTAGATGGAAAGCTGCACCCTTGGATGTTCAAACAACTTATATAGTAAGTAGGTCTAGGTCCCCAGTAGTGCCCTCTTGACTTATATAGTAACTTCCATTTGCTTGATTAAGACGACTTGTTAATTTTCCCTTGTTGGTTTTGAAGGGAATCGATTTCACTACTGAGAATATGTTTATTTTTTCCATGTGGCTTAAGCAACAACTTCTATAGTAAGTAGGTCTAGGTCCCCCAGTGGTGCCCTTTCTCACCCCGTTTTTGGTTGGGAGGGTTCCCCTACTAGAAATGGGCTACAGAAAAAAGTTGGTGCCCTTATTCTAACCGCTCTACTGGAGGACCTAGAGATGGGGTTGAACCCCTGGTTCTTGTTGTAGGTGGAAAGCTACCCTCTCCAAGCCACCCATCCAGAAAAACTGGAGGCCGACTCCGTAGATCTCCCATTAGCCACTTTTTGGGAAGACCGTTCAGTGAACGACAAGTCGGGACGTGTTTTGGGCCGGAAGCGGGGTACCCAAACGGCTGGTACGGGTCCCGGGCCCCACCAGCTTGTAGGCAAGCAACCACACAATCTTACGTACATCCACGATACCAGCACCCCCCCAACGAAAACAACAACAACAACAACAACACGAAAACAACAACAACACCAACATGTGGCTTTCCCACTTGGCTTCCCTTTAAAAACCTACATACCCTCACAAAAAGGACACACACACACACACACACACATGAGCCGAGGTCGGCGGTTCGAAAGACCTGGGGACGGCTGATGGTGTCCTTGGGTTATCAGGCGGCTCGATTCGATGCGCTGGTTAAGCCTTTTTTGGGCTTGGTCGTGGGTGCGTCTCGATTTTGAGGCCAACCTTGTTTGGGCTTAAGAGGAGAACCACGAGGAAATCACCTATTTGGGTGTGTAGGGTTCATAGTTGAAAGGTACAGTTTGAGACCAGTTTGGGGAGTAGTTCGCCACAAATGATGGGCTTTACGGGACACCAGTCAATTTTTGAGCGCCAAAAAGCCGTGGTACATTGGTTTGTCAAAGGTACTAGTACAGCTTTATGGGACAGTCAATTTTGGGCCCAAAAAAGTTCTGTCCTTTCAACACTCAAGGGTTCCCAAAAGCAAAACACGCAATCCATCCCCAAGTCTCCTCTGTGGACTTGCCAGGAATCCCAAGAAAGTTCCCCCTCGAATTCGGGACATCCCTTCTCAGTGTTTCCATCCAGCCGTCAGGTGGGTATGGGTCAAAATGAAGCCGCCAGCCGCAGGTTTTAGTCCAGGTTTCCATTTACCAGGGTTCCCAAAATGGGTACCCATTTTTGACCCACAGCCAGGTCACCCAGAAAGTTGGTGGTGGATTTGAGCCGGTTCTTGTTGAGAGATCTCCAAACCTCCAATCCCCGGGTAGGTGGAAAGCTACTCCAAACCAAGCAGAGCGAGCCTGACTTCGTAAATCCCATTTGTTCTCTCTGTTTTAAGCAACCTGAGGTAAGTAGGTTCTACCTAGGGCAAAAGGGTTGGTCCCATAGGTCTCCTTTTTAGGTTAGTTTGAATAGGAATAGATGGGTTCCACTGGCTTAGATGGGTTGTATGCCATCCATGTACCGGGGAAAACCATCAACTTCACCAAAAGGACACCTATGGTCGGTCCCCTTATGGCCATGGTTATATCCTACTTACGTTGGTTGATTACTTTTTGGTTGTTTGGCCCCCTAGCCACGGATCGAAGAACGGCCGGTTGAACATCCAGCCGTTGCGTCGCAGGTTCGCTTCTTCTTGGGCAAGGCGGAGGGCGTGCAAGCGGAGATCCAGAGGCACCAGGACTTGGTCTTGCTGGATGCTGCTGGAATGCGATTCATTGAGGGCATTCCATGGAGCAATACTTTTCAGGAAGACTATTTCAGTGGTTTTGATCTTTTTTTTGGCCAACCCGCTCAGGAAGTGAGTACCAGCCGAGAAAAAGAGGGTCCCAATCCGAGTAAGCAGGTGGTTTGGGGATGCATCCTTTAGGCTCACCTGCTCAGTTGTCCAACACTTGTTTCTCTCTAGGCCCGGTTCGACCATTTGCAACAAACTTTGGGCTTTGGACAGGGGTGCCTTCTGAGAAACATCCATCCCGGGGGTCTTTTTTGGAGGGTACCCTATTCTTGGGGCTGGGTTCATACGGGCGCCATTTGGAAATGGGGCCAGTTGGTAGCTTAGCTTTGTCATAGGGGTGTGTGCTTTTTGATTGGGGTACCCTTTTTTGGTAGCCTTTAAGGGAATCCGTAGTGCTTTAGTTAGCAAGTGGTTGGCCACCTGGGGTATGATAACAATTTAGGCTTAGTCTGCGTGGGGGAGCTTATACGCAGGGTATGGCTTAGGGTACTAACAACTTACTAACCTGGCTGACCACCCAACTACGGAATGTAGACAAGCCTGATAAGGATTGTGGTGAGGGAAGCATGGCTATGACCCATATGCGGAGCACCCTCAAACAAACACAATCACATATGTCAAAGCAGACAAACAAAAACAGTTGTAGACTTGGACAGACGACACTGGGCTGCGACTCCACGCTGCACGCCGCTGTTGACACGACGCTCTGTTTGCGTTTTCCAGCACCAGTACTCAAGAGAAAAACTAGCAGAGGGCTGCTGATTGGAATCCATATGCCGGCAGGTCTTGGCAGGCTCAAAGACCATGATGTGGTTGGTTTCTGTTTGCTGGGAGTCCTGAGCGGATCTTTGTTTTCTGTATTTGTTCATTTCCCCCTGTTGGTTCTAAGGGGAATCTATCACACTCTTGGACATATTTTGTTTTTTTGGCACAGGGCTTAAGCAAAAGGAGGTCATTTATCCACACTTTGGGCGCTTTTGAGGCCAGGTCACGTCCCTAGAAGAGCGCTCGTGGGTCACCATTCACCATCATCCGCATTTGTCGGGGCTTCGTTGCTCGTCCGAGCGCCACTACGTGAGGCGCGGATCCCTAGACATCAGGACACCCTCCTCAGAAAGGGAAAGGTTCTCAGGCCCTCTTCCAAGAACCGCTTCTAAGAAGCTTCATTCAGAACCTTTGAGGCAAAATGGCGGGGGGGGGGGGGGGTCCTTGGGTTTCCTCCCCCACGCCTCCCAGTTTCTTGCAGGGGTCGCTCAACCCCAGCGAAGTGGCAGATTCGTGGGAGAACCTACCAGTCAATTGCAGCTTAAGGGGACATCCAGCGACTGCTTCTGTGCAATTGTTCCCTCTGTTCTGTTCGATCCTTTGTTCCCTCTGTTCCCTCGTTCTGTTCAATCCTCCGTTCAATCCTCTGTCCTGGTTTGCTGAGGTTGAAGAGGGATACAAGTGGAACTCGCTCAAGGGCTTGCGCTTCTTGGAGTGGTGTTCCCGCAACGCGCCTTGGCGATGCACATCACTTCAGTGGTCATAGTCATACTGTGGATGGACGAAATCCTGCACCACCTAAGAAACCCTGGATTGATGATTCCCTTGTAAATACCGAGCAAACAATGGGTCCCCGTGGTTTCAAAGTGGTGCGAAACGGATTTCGTCCATCCACAGCAGTCCCACTGGGAGAGGCAGGGACCCGGCCAAACCTTCGGTTGCTTCGATCAGGATCAACCAGACGCCCCTTGGATCAGGGTGCCTTTGACCCTAGCCGCAGGACTACTGTGGATGGACGAAATCCGTTTCGCACCACTTTGAAACCACGAGGACCCATTGTTTGCTTGGTATCTACAAGGGAATCATCAATCCAGGGTTTCTTAGGTGGTGCGAAATGGATTTCGTCCGTCGGAGAATCCCCTTGCAATGCATGGGCGCCTCCGATCCGCCGTTCGGGTGCGCGCCTCGAGGCGCTTTGAATTTGCGAGAGGGGAGAACACGACCCCAGAGGTCAGAATGCCAACCATTTTTTGGGAGGAGTTCCCGTGTTAGCCCCACTCGGATCCCTTTTTGTGTTCAGAGACTCTGTGCTTGTGATGTTTTTTCAACTTCATCTTCAGCTCCTAGCCGCAACCCGGCGGGCAGTATGAGGTGCTGGCCCGGTTCCTGGTCAAGGCAGACGACGACGTCTTTCTGCGCCCCCTGCCGCTGTTGGCGTTGCTGGAACGAAGGCCATCGGCCCGTCTCGGCCGCTCGCAGGGCCTTCAGTTCAAACCTCAGTTGCCCAACCAATTGTTTGTTATTTGGGCTGGTTGTTTTTTTGATGGCACTTGTTTTTTGTGTATTTAAAGGGAAACCATTTCGGGGGGGTGGGGGCTGGGGGGTGTCCATTGCAAAAAAGACACCTCCATTTGGACATGAATGGATATATCATCCCACAGAAAGAGGGTGTGCCTGTTGAACGTGTTGGCGGGCTGCCCTGGAAATCAAGGGACAACAACCAAAACAAGATTGTGTTGTTTTGGACTTCATCGGTGCCCTTGGACACCAGAAATCAACACAAAGGGGTGTGTGCCCATTTTGCTTGGGGCAAGCTGAGTTTAAGAGTACTCTGCCCCAGTTGGAAGTCCATGGTGGCGAAGGTGATGCGAATCAGGTCTTCTTTTTGATCTCCAAACCCGAAGGCGCTGGCTTCCGCCCCAAAGACCCGAGCTTCAGGCCTTGAGGTCTTATTCGTGTTGTTTTTTGAGGATTTGGACACCCAAGCTGGTGGTTTTAGGTTTTCCTTTTGGTTTCTCTTTGTAGTTGGATTTCATGGATTGGGTTCCAAAACCCACCGATTCGCCGATCAAAAAAGAATTACAGGGGTGATCCGGGCTCGTGTAAGCGGTTAGTAAGCCTGGTTATAGTCCACTGAACGGAGAATTATAGCCATGGCTGATACGTGAATTATCTCACCAGGCTTACGATCACCACTTGCCTGACGTTCAATGCCCCTTTGTGTGTCCTGACTGAGAAAGCGACGGTTGGGGGTCGACGGGTCGAGAGGCCCTTTTTCGGCTACGTATGGGGTTACTTCGACTACCTCAGCCCTGTGCCACGCGAGGCGCGAGGTTCTAGTTATTGGCTAGACTAGCTACAACACAGAGCCTGACAATTTATGATTTCCAAGCTATCGACACTTGCAACCTCCGTCCTTTAGGGTTTGGTTTTTAAAGGGTTTCGGCCGGCAAACTAGGGCATGGATGCAGGCCCGGATGAAGCTTCAAAGCTGAATAAAAACGGGCCGAAGGCACAGGAAGGTCCCAGAGTGTCAAAGTCTTTCTTGACATCTGTGGGTCAAACCGGTTGGTTTCCATTTGGATGTTGCCTCTTTCTTTGTTTTATATGGTCGCCCTTTTAACAACGCCCAATATGGGTACCCTCAAAAACCAAGCAGACGCACCCACCCAGCTCTCAGATGGTCAGTGGATAGACTTCCTGAGGCCTGGGACCACCGTTTTCTTGTGTGAGTCGTTTTCCCAAAGAATCCTTGACTCAGAGGAAAGGCTGGATGAGGAATGGCTTGGGACACGCACCATCGGTCGTTCTGGGCACCACCTGGCCCATGCCTGAATCTTCTGCCGTCCTAAACATGCTCCGCCGAAACAAAGCGTCCAGAAAAATTGGAATCCTCGGAGTCCCCGGTTTGATCTGACTCTGGCTTTTATTGCTTGGTGGGGAAGCAACCAACAGGTTCACTTGTAACTGGGATGCCACACCCCCGCTTGCAGCACTGGATTTTTGGATTGATTCTTTGTCTTGAGACAGGCTGTATCAACAAACATACCACGAAAAACCGCTTGAGGGAAGTGCCAAACACTTTCTTGAATGCTCTAAGACCCCAGCAAACGGGGTACGATCCGGGTTGCTATGCCCACTTCTGAGGGGGAAACTAGCTTTAGAACAGACGCCTTCTACGTGTTCAGTCGTTTTTGGACCCTGCCTTTGGTGTAATTTTAGTGGTCAACAAATTCGCGGACTTTTTGTGGGCCATCCACTCGGAAGTGAAAGTGAGCGGTGGTTCTAGGGGTTGATTCCCCATTCTTTCTAGCCGTCGTTCTTTTCAACAAGCAGCCATTTCCCCAGTTTGTTTTGTGGTTTTCTAGAAAGATTCGGATCCCTGGAAAGAATGGAAATGGAAGTTACCCCTGGAACGTTTTTGTTTTTTATTAGCCTGTCCCATGTGGTTTCCCCTTGGCCCCATCTTCGCCTTTTTCGGGTTTCCGAGTGCCGAGCGATCAGCGACGTAGGAGGGCCATGACTTCTACAACTCCGAGGAGGTGTATCCCTTCGAGGCGGCTTCGGAAGTGGTCGCAAGGGCGGAAGAACCTTCATTTGGTTAAGATGTGTGTTTTCTCCCGTGTTGGTTTGAAAGGGAATCTATCACTCTACTGCACATATTGTTATTTTTGGCAGGGGGCTTAAGAAAATGGAGGATGATTACATACCATTTGATCCCAGGATGACTTGCCATGACAACCCCAGGGCAGGATGCATCAGGCAAGCGGATATTCCTGGTTATAACGCAGTCATAGACGCGTGGTTTTTCTGGTTTCTAGCCAGGGCACTATAAGTAACCACGCCCCAAAGCCCCAAAGGAAAGCCTGCCGTCGCTTAAAGGGGTCGAGGGGCCCATGCAATCAGTTGCATCAGTTGCAACCTCGCGGGAGTCGGGAGTTGGTTTGCAAGGGAACCAAAACCACTTCACATTTTCTTGACCTGTTGTGAAACCTCCTCTTCTTCGGGAATTCCGGAAAAATGGGGGGAGGATGGCGCTTGGGTTCGGAAAAATCCACTGGACGCCTCCTGTATTTGGGTGTTCGATTCGCCAAGCTAGTATGTTGTTCGCAACCTATGCCACAACCTGCTTACAAGTCCCCCTAGTGGAGTTCACCTTGTTAGTGGGTTAGTGGGTTATTACACGGGTGGCCTTTTCCACTTACTGACTTGGCGAATCGAACATCGTAGGGATCCCCTTACAGGAAGCCGCAAAGGGATGGGCTTCAAAGGCTTCAATAGGCTTCATTTCCGTTGAGAACCAGCAAGTAGACGCCCCACTTCAAGTACCCAGATTTGGCCAATAGCCTACCTAGAGTCTTCTGACTCGATGTCTACAAATATCGTTAACAGCAGCTTTAAAAGCTGGTGATTCAGCTAAACAATACGTGAAAGATGAAAAAGACAAACATGGGTAATAAAATGGATACCCCAAACTTCCCGGACCCTTGATCGATTGCACACCCCCAAATTGACGCCTCAGCCTCAGCCCCAGCGGCGCCTGGATGTCGGACCCGATATCCGATCCGATTCGCGAGGCCTTCCCCCCCTACGCGCGGGGGCTGCTGCGTGTGCTCTCCATGGACGTGGTGGCGGCCCTCGCGGAGATCTCCGATGCCCGCGAGGCCGCGGCTTCGCGGCGATTTCGGCGGGGGAGGGGCGGCGGAGGGGCGATCGAGGGAATCGAGGCGATTGGGTACGTCAGGTGAGTGGTGAGAAGCCTGGGTATAAGAGGACAAGCACTAAAGGGAGACTGATCTAAGCATGGGTTAGGACCATGGTTTTTACCGACCTATAAGTACCATGCCCCATGGTTCTTGCTGGCTGTTACGCGAGATGATTTGGTCTTCGTGATTTTCGGAGATTGACGATCGGATTTGGAATAAATTCTGGGGTCATGATTTTGACAGTTTCTTGAGGGTTAGCAAGTCAGAAACCATGGTTGGTGGTTGCCCTTTCACCTACCACTTGGAAGGTGAATTTGATACTGGTATAATAATGGGGGCTCGGCCAGGAATTCCAAGCCTCCATTTGGGACTATTTTTTGGAGGTAGCCCTTTTGGTGGTTTTAACGGGAAACCAAAAGAAAACCATCATTTTGGGGGGTCCGACTCCTAAAAAAGAACGAGCCACCCTTTTGTAAGAGCCAAGCAAACCGTGGAGTCCGATGTCCATTGAAAACTCGACGCTGATTTTTTTCCAACCTTTGATGAGTGAGCAAGAGTCAGATAGCATACAGTTCGCACACAGGTAGGTGCGTCTTTTCCGTGTACCTCTTTTAGGGTGGGAATTTTCGGGCAAAGGGAAACGTTTGGTGGGTGCCCTATTTGTAGACACAACCATTTGGAGATTGACTTCTCAGGAAATGGGTAGGACATCCACTGGGGCAAGCAACGTAACTGATGGTTCTCACTCCAAGCACCCGTGGGTGCGCGCAACGCGCCAAGTTACTTCCATTTGCTTAAAAGTATGTTTCCTTTTCCTTTGTTGGTTTTGGAAGGAATTTACCACTACTGGACATATTTTTCATTTTTACCAGGGGTCTTGACCAAATAGAAGGTTAGATAGTTGTCGGTAACCATTCGGTTACACCCCGCTGAAAATTGTCCCCCTTGGCGGAGTCAGGTGGCCGTTGCCGCTTCCCTTGGCGAATCGAAAGATGCAAGTCTTTTCGAGGGATTGGACCAGAGAAGGCTAATCGAACGAGGCTGTAAACCAGGATTTGCCCATGGTTAGATACACCAGGGTCCCCAGCTAGGTGCCCTTTCTCACCTGTTTCTTTTTTGGGGAGGGTTCCCCTACTAAAATCGCCTTCTAACCTGTCTACCGGAGGACCTAGTACTTGTTAGATACCTTCTTCTATGGTCAATAGGGTCAACAGGCTAATGCCACTAAGGCCTATTAGAGGCTTATACGGCGGATCAGATGATAGGTGCATCCCAATATGCACAGGATGCCGATCGGACCCTCTTTGCGTGCCTCTGGAAACCAGGAATGACCCGGACAAATAAGTCGGTTCTTTTAGGGTGTTCCCCTCAATTTGTCTGAATCCCCACTAGAAAGGAGTTGGTTTTACTTCATGTCTCAAAATCGACCAGGGCTTCCGCTCAATGCCGGCTTCCCGTAAGTTGGTACGAGCCCGAGCCAGTTTTTCAACTTTTGGAGACCGCTTTCTCGCTGGGCCGAACAACTCACTTCCTGAGTTCATGAACTTTATAAACTTTTTGGGAAGACCATTTTAGTGGTAAATATAAAGTTTGAGCTTTTTTTGGGCCATCCACTCAGCAAGTGAGACAAGCATTCCGTGGCCTTGTTCGGCTTTCGCCTTGCAGGACCTGCGCACGGTCTTTGGGGATGACCCCAACTTCGGGGTTCACCTCCGGTACTTGGCCCGCGAGAAGAAGCTCAGAAAGCCCGAGGAATTCCCGAGGTTCGGGTGTTTTCCTTGGGGTGTTCAGTTAAAACCACCACCTTGTCGGGTGCTTTCCTTTGGGCTTTCAGTTAAAAGCACCACCTTCCATTGGCTTAAGGTGTTTGTTTGCTGTTTTTGGGGGCATGTACTTTTATCATAGCATGTTTCATGCCAATGCCCAACGCGGCATTTGGCTCAAGCTATTCGTTCCGGCAATACGCCCTGCTACTTCGTCGCCACGGACAAAACGGCATCGTGCCACGTCTCGCTCTCGGGGAACCGCGCGGGCCGTGTGCTGGTGGTTGGTCCTGTTGGCGGAGGTGGGTCGGGGATTGTAATTGGGAACGGCGCGCAATTGGTTTGCTTTGCTTGCTTCGCTGCTTTGTTTGCCTGCCTGGTTTGCTGCTTTGTGCTTGCTTTCGCTTGTCTCTGCCCTTGCTGGGTTCATTCATCTTTTGGTAAAAGGCACCCTGTTTGGTTCGTTTGTTGTGCCAGCCGGGGGCACCGCTTTGCCCTTGGGACTGGGGGACTTAAACAATCTCTTCTTGTTGGTGGGATTGGGCCTGTTTATTCTCTCCCGAAATACTGTTTCAAACCCTTTCGCAGGTTATCAGCCGTAGGATTCGTCCTCGGTTGGCACCGCGAACCCCATTTAATAACAACCCTGCAGGCGCCGTTTTCCATAGGCTACTGTAGGACTCATGGCGGGAATCACCGAGGATGGACCTCATGTGGTGACCGATGAGTGGGTTCTCGGCCAGGCCGGAATCTTGGACGTTGTGAATGACGACCAAGTGCCCGGACAGCCGATGTTTTCCGGTCCTGACTTTTTGTCGGACCACACTTTTTCAGAAGCAATGCCTTCAGGAAGGTCCAGTGCTACTCGCACTGATGACCTATCGTCTAATGCCTCAAGAGCTAATCGCTCTCAGGGTCATGGGGCTAATCGTCCTGACCATGATGATTCCGTCTCAGGACGTGATGATGACGAGCCCGGTATTGCACCTGGAGCTCAATCCTCATCTTTCCCGGAGCTGATGAATATTGGTCAGTCCGAGTTTCGTGACTCTCGAAGTAGCAGTAGACCTGTGCCAACCAGCAGTGTAGTTTTTCAAGCGCTCGGTAATCCCGAACCTGGTACATCCAGTGGAGTTGCATTTGACGTTCATCTGCCGACCGAATCCGGTGGGCTCGATTGGAGAGCCTCATGGCCCAACGACGGAAACATTTTTGGTATGGATTTTGCCGCATGGATGCCAGGGCTACCCGCCCCGTCATCTTTCCCGCAATTCCAAAGCCCAAAACGGGCTGCTGGAAGCGATGAGTTCATGCTACCTTTGTCGATTGAAAATCTCAATCCTGACGTGGCCAGCCGTAACGTCAGGCCAAGACCGTCGGTAAACCCGACCATGAGGAACATGTCACCTCCCCCAGGACTTTCAGGATTTGAGAGCCCTAGGGAGCGTAATATTGTAGATAGATTGGATTTGCATCCCAGTCCAACCCCAAGCAAACGATCAAGGTCAAATTCGACTGGATCACATAGGGCAAGGGGGATGGATCGAGAAACTGCCCACAGGGGTAACCCCAATACGCGGGACTCACGATCAGGTGATCCAGCGTCGATCGTTGGTAGAGACCCGTTGAACGCGGACACACTCGTTAACGTGCTTGATGGGATCGAAGCGTTCCAGGAGGAATTTAATAGGTCAAATGGCTTGAACGCACAAGGTGTTCGCCCTACGCCCAACGCGGCTTCCATTTTCGCTCTGGACAACATGGACGGAACCAATGTTCCGATAGAATCTGAGTCTATGATGGCATCAAGTTCTAGTCGCAATCATCCGATTAGGAGATTGGCTCTGATACGGGGCAGATCTCCTAGCATCACGAACCGCAGAGGGTTGTGTCATGCCCAGGCCTTTGGCCACGGACAGTTTAGGAACAACAGGCCTATCCGTTCGCATGGGAACATCAGGTCTCGAGTCAGCAATAACAATGTCATTCAAGTCGGTCGCATTGGACACTCTAGACTCAGACATTGATTCAATATCAGTCGCATTACTGTGATTTCCCACAACCATTAACGGCCGTGCAGGATGATTTCAGAACTCCCCCGAGATCTAATCCAATCATGGTTGATCTGTCCACTCCTCGAGATCGCGGATCAGGATTTGGTCCTACGAGTGGGGAGCAGCCCAACGAGGTTGCAGATCTTGTAACAGCCCTTGAAAGAGGGAGAGTGGACTCTTCGGTAAGTGCGATCATTCATCGCCTGGTTGCTAAGGTCGAAGACCTTGGGCGTAGGAATGATAGAAGTGATCAATGCATCAAGCAGCTCTCCACTGAGGTTAACTTGTGGAGGGCCAAATACGACCAATGCGTCCATGTGAGTAGCACGTGTACGCAGGCTGCAAATGCGACTATGCAGATGTCACAAGGGACTAAGGACATCGTGACCGAGCTTGGCCAACGCGTCAAGATCGTTGCCGATCGCATGATAAGCATAGGCGATGCCCTAAGTGAGCGAGCCAGCTATGATGATGTTGCTCGCTCCATTACCCAGGTTCAAACTGTTTTTGAATCTCTTTCTGATCGAGTAACCGGGCTTATAGCTCGTGTTGATATGATCGAGAGATCTCTTGTGGAGAGCCAGTCCAACCATCCTGCGATTGGTGGAGTAAACCTCAAAATCGAGGACCTGTCCACTAGGGTATGTCAGATTGATAGGATGATGCAAGATGTCGAACAACGCTGGACCAGTAATAGGGACGGCATAAAGTGGGTTAAAGACCAACTTTATGAGACACAAGCCAACCTTGAGATAAAGTCAAGGGACTGCAAATCCTACACGGACAAGCAGAATACTCATAACATGGCCGTTTCGACTACGCTCAACAGTAAGCTCGAGCAAATGCTCGAGGTGCTGGGTAATACAGCCCAGAGAATTAATTCCCTAGAGTCAAGGCACTCGAACCAGGCCTCAAGCAGTGGATTGAACGATCACACAGGAGGAAGGCGTGCCGCATCCCGTATTCCGGATAAGCGGCCACCTCCACCTGGCCCTCCTGATGATGATCCTCCACCACCTCCTCCTCCAGATTGGCAAAGCCCAGGAGGAGGGGGGAAGAAGAGTGCCGCTGGTGGGAAGCCTGGCAACCCTGGTAAACCCAGGTGTAAATACGTAGGTGATGGATATAATCATCTCATGGCTGAGTTTCACTGCAAGGGATGTAGAGGTGATATTTGTGAGTATTGCTTCTCGTTTAAAGAGAACCTGTGTGAAGAATGTTCCCGTAACGGACCCCGATGCGGAGTCTGTAGGGAGAGCTCGTTCCTGACCAAGGGAACTGAGTGTCAGTTTTGTAAAACCTACTACTGCACCAGACATTCTGCTGGGCAGGACGACTACAGGAGATTTGGATTTGTCCAGGGTCCCTGTTGTCTTGCGTGCCTTAGGGACGAAACTAGGAGAAGAAGGGATCCCGATGGTAACCGTGTCAGGAATAGATCGCCTGGAGGCGTACCTGAGACGAACCCGACGCGGTCGTTCTCGCCGCCTCTGCGGCCACCCGTTGACAGATTCCGTGACACTCCAACCGGGGTTCAACCTAACGCGGCTGACCTTCAGAGTCCTCCGAAGGCAACGCAATCCGTGCCCCTGGATAAACGTGAAACCGGATATTATCCAGGATTTGATCCCAACGGTACAAGGCCGAAGGATCCTTCAGGCCTTGAGCCGCCGACCATGCGTGGCCCCGATCCTCCTGACAAGAAATGTCGGATGTGTGATCGGGATATTCCTGACCCCAGCAAAATTGAGGAATGTAAGATATGCATGAAAAGGGCATGTGAGATTTGCATTCCGAAGGCTACTCGCCTTTGTCCTGTATGTGCATTGTCAATCGGTAGTTCTCAGGTTCCACAGCATCTTTTCGGAACTGGTGGCGGCGGGTACAGTAGCCACCATGATCCGAACTGTACAGCTGCGACTAAGTGCATTCCCATAGACCTCCCGCCAGAGCCCGACGCGGCTGGGCTGAGGGTATGGATAGCCAATATGAAGGAAGCTGTTAGCAATGCCTACAGCTATGATGGACTTTACGTCATCAATTGGCTAACTGAAGTCGAGAAGGCAAAGACCTTTGATGAACTGGATGGGGAATGTAAATACCACATCCTTGAAGCCAGGTTCAATGCAGCCATTCGGAAGTGCATCAAGACTGTTGCAATTATCGATAAGATTAATCGTCTCACCGAAGCCGCTCAACGCTCCAACAATCGCATCAAGAGTAGGCAGATCCTGTGGCTCTTATACGACCACTTAAGGACTGCGAACATCGGAGAGCAATCGTTCAGGATAATCGAGCTCTCAAACTTGCGATGCAGTGTGTCATCTTTCTATACTGAAGAGGAGCGACTTGAAAGGTTCATCGCGAAGTGGGATCACATCCTTGCGGGTCTCGATGAACCGCTGACCGAGCAGGTAAAGCGGTCGCTATTCAGTGAGAAGGTTAGACACCTCAACTGTTTGGCTCATGATATCAGGGAATGGGATAGGAACATATCCAACCCTGATGTTTGTAGCTATGAATGGCTTCGTGCTCGTTGCAAGAACGAAATTGACCGCTGGAGGGTTCGTAAGAATCAGGTCAATATGCACAAAGACTTTTACGAACGATCTCAGTCCAGGGACAGAGCCCAGAAACCTGGTGCTCCTGGTCCTCCCGTTAGGAGACGATCTCCGTTTGGAGATTCCCATAGGCCTAATCGGCCTCCTAGCGATCCGAGGAAGAGGACCGGTAATACCCCAAGTCCTCATCGAAGGGACAGGTACTCTCCCAGGAATCGGGAGCAGGACAAGCGGCGTACGCCTAGCCCTAGGGGCGAGCCCCCAAGGAGGCCCAGGTCTACGTCGCCCGGCGCTCCTGCGATTGATGCGTGCAGGGACTTCGCGCGTGGATACTGTTCGCGCGGACAAGAGTGCA